TGGCGCAGCGCCAAACAGACCACCGCTCGTCGACGCCGCCGGAGCCGGACCCCCGAACAACCCGCTGCCCGTCGAAGCCGCCGGCGCGGGACTCCCGAACGCCCCCCCAGTCACCGCCGGCGTCAACGCCGGCGCCGCCCCGAACCCACCCGCGCTCGACGCCGCGGGCGTTCCGAACAATCCGCCGCCGCCGCTCGCCGCCGCCCCGCCGCCGAACAATCCGCCCCCACCGCCCCCGAACGCCCCACCGCTCGCCCCCGTCGCCGCCCCCGTCGTCTGCGGCGTCGACCCGAACGAGAACCCACCGCCCGCGCCCCCGGTCGCGGGCGCGGCGCCGAACGCGCCCGCGCCCACCGTCTGCGTCGTCTGCGGCGTCGACCCGAATGAAAACCCACCCGCGCTCGCCCCCGCGGGCGTCGTCGGCGCGCCGAACATCGCGCGCGCGTCCGCGATCGCCGCGCTCGCCCGCGTCCGCCCCGCGCGCCCGTCGCCGAGCGCCGCGCGCCGAGCGATGCGGCGTCGATCGCGACGGCCGCGTCGACGGATGCGCAGAAAAAACAATCCTCACCGCGCGTCGCGATGTCCGCCGACCGCGTGCGCGCCGGACTCCCGCGCGTGGTCGACGTGACGTGGCGCGTCGACGTCACGCTGTGCACCTCGGACGCGCGCGAGGTGATGCGTCCGAGCGTGACCTTACGCCTGCGGTTGGACGATGGGAGCGAAAAGACGTTTGAGTGTGGCTTAGAAAAGTTCCATCAACTGCGCGAGGCGACGGCGACGATGCTGAACGAGATGGAATGGGCGTCGAGGGACGTTGCGGCGGTGAAAGAGATCGGCGCTCGGGCGCAGGCGCGGTGGGATAAGGTGAAGGCGGAGGCGAACGCGAGCGGTGGGTGAGAGTTCGCGCGAGCGTGTATTAAATAAATCTTTGCTAGGCCTTGTATCGCTCGTCGTCGGCGTAGTACTCGGGAAAACCGACGGAACTCTGTAGCTCGACGAACGTGGGGAGACTTTCGTCGCTCGGGTAGCCCTCACGTTTGATCTCATCGAGCGCGCGCTCCATTGCTTTGACGCTCACGGCGAGGAGCGACAAGGGATAGGCGACGATGCTGAATCCCATGTCCTCCAGCTCTTGTGGGGTGCAGATCGGAGTCGATCCACCGCCCTCGAGCATGTTCGCCATCTTCGGCACACCCGGAGCGACCTTGCAAAATGCTCGCATTTCCTCCTTCGATCGAAGCGCGTCGATGAAGAGCGCGTCCGCGCCCGCGTCCGCAAACGCTGCCGCTCGCCACAGCGCTTCGTCGAGATCGATCGCGCTCCTCGAATCACTCCTCGCGAAGAGCACGATTCCCGATCCACTCTCATCCCTCGCGTCGCACGCCGCTCGCACGCGCGTCACCGCGTCCTCTCGCGACACCACTCGTCTATTCTTCGTGTGTCCGCACGCCTTGGGCGCCACCTGATCCTCGATCAGGATCCCCGCGAACCCTGCCTTGGCGTATCCCCTCACTGTTCGCTTCACAGACATCGGGTTCCCGTACCCATCGTCGCCGTCACCGATGATCGGAAAGCTCACGCTCGTGGCGTCGTTACAGGTTCGACCGACGTCCACCATCTCCCCGTACGAGATCAATCCCGTATCCGGCAGCGCAAGCCTCGAGGCGCTGACGCAGAAACCAGACATGAACGCGGCAGAGAATCCGGCGCGCTCGATCAGGCGAGCGCTCAGGGCGTCGTGCGCGCACGGCGCCTGAATGATTGTCGGCGACGCGAGCAAGTCGCGCAAGACTTTTGTCTGAGGTGCAACAATACGACCGTCGCTCGCGGCTGCGGTGCGGCATCGAACGCGCGACGCGCGAGGTGCATGCATGTGCGTCATCGTGGACATCGGTGCGCGACGGCGCGCAGGATTGTGCGGCTTTTCGGAGTTTGGTTCGAACGAGTCTGCGGCGCCGGCACGCATGGACGATGTCATCGATGCGATCACGTCGATGGATCCGCTCGAGAGCGAACTATAAACGATGTGTCATCGTCGCGCTCGTCGTCGGCCTCTTGGGCGAAGACGTCGCCGCCGGCGATGTGTGCGTCCAGGAGTGTCGTGAGCGGGCCCGGAGACGGATCGACGACTGGCGCCGGCGGCAGAGACGACCCGAGAACGCGCGTGCGCGCATCTTGTTCGATCATCACGCGCGGAATAGCGATCGACAGGTTCCTCTCACGAGCGAACTGGTTCGCTCGTGCGTCGTAACCCATGAGAAATGCTCGATCGGCACACGGCTCGCGCACCGTCGGCGATCCGAGCCACTTGAAAGTTGGAGACAAAAGCTCCAAGCCCTCCGGTGGGATGATCAAAGGCTCATCGTTCGCGTCGACGAGGAGCGCCACTTCGTCGAAACCGTACCCGTTGCGCTCGAAATCTTCCTCGTACGCGAGCAGCACCGCATGGTTTGTCGCGAGATAGTGACCGTCTGTGTGTCCAGAATCTTCAGTGCCGAAACTGTCGTGCGCCTCCGACTGCTCGCGAGCATCTCGACGCCCGCTCGAGGATTTCCTGCTTCGGCTTCGAGCGTTTGTGCTCGCCGAGAGCTTTTTACCGTCGTAATGATCCTCGTTCACGCCCATCGAGGCTCTATCGCGCTTCGCGCGTGCTTGCGCCTGAAACATCATCGATCGCGACAGTGGAGACGAGCTCGCGCGGCTCCTGCGTCTCGATGATTTCGTTGTGATGATATGTTTACCGCTCGCCTTATCTGCCACACCCACGTCGTCGTCGTCCTCTTCGTCTTCTTCTTCCTCCTCGTTCTCTTCGAAATCGTCCTCGTCTTGGTAATACGCCTCGCTCTTCACCGCTCGTCGCGTCGTACCGCCGACCCTTCGACTCGTCCCAGCCTGCGACTTCCCCCGATCCAGCGCTCCCGGTTGTGACGAGAAGTGTTGATCGAACAGATCACGATTATTCCGAATCTCCTGCGCTTCTCTTCTATCCGCGTGAAACCGCTCCAGCACGTCCTCGATCTCCCCGGACGAGTACTGATACAACTTTTCGTGCGAGTTATAAATCACCATCGCGATGTCGCAATCACACAGCACGCTCAGCTCCATCGCCTTCTTCATCAATCCATTCTTCCGTTTCGTGAACGTCACCTGTCGATTCCGTTCGTCCCCGATGCGCTCAATCTTAATCTTCTTCCGCCCCATGCCGGTTTGACTCGCGCGTCCACCTCTTCGACCCACGCGCGCGTTCGGCGTTCCCCGAGACGCACCGCGCGCGGCGTCGAGCGAGACCTCCGCTTTCGCGCCCGCGCTCGCGTCGACGCGCGCGCGTTCGCGTCGACGCGCGCGCGGTGGTCTGTTGACCACGCGCGCGGTCAGCCCGCGACCGTTCGTCTTCCGTCCCGCCGAGGGCTGTTCGAAAGGTCCGCGTGTGTACACAGTGAGACTTTTCGCGCGCGACGGACATTTCGCGCGCGCGACCGACGCGCGCGCGTCACGGCCGGGCGCGCGCGCGCGTGGGCGCGAACGATCGATGTCGCGCGCGAACGGCGCCTTCGTGGGCTACCGCGCCGCGTTCGCGCTCGGAAAGACGGGACGGGGACGATCGGTGAAGTATTACCTGGTCGACGCGAAGGGGGAGGAGACGCTCGCGGCGTACGCGGACGAGAGCACGCCGGGGGACTCGCACTACACGTATAAGAATCACGAGCAGTTTACGTCGTACGGGACGCTGACGTGTCATAATCGGAAGGCGCTGCACGCGTGGTTGGATGAAATCGTGCGCGCGTCGAGCGGGGTGGTGACGCACGGACCGATGAGCGCGACGGGCGATACGAAGGTGAAGGCGACGAGTAAGAATAAGAAGAAGAGTGGACAGGGATCGATGCGACACAACGGGTTGGTGATGTCCTTGGAGGCGGCGACGTCGGGGGCGGCGGCGGCGGTGACGGTGACGACGACCAAGCCGGACGGGACGCCGCTCTTCGTGAGTTACTCGCAAGAGAAATTTACGTTTCCGGATGGTCGCCGAGGGATTCGTTTTTATGTGCACGACGAGTCGGGGTCGCCGACGCTGGCGGTTCTCGGGGAGGAGCGCGAGACGCGCGACGGGCACTATCAGTACAGGCGCGTGGACACGTTTAACGCCGGCGTGCCACTGCGGTGCGGCAATCTGAGTGGCGTGCATAAGTGGTTAAAGGATCACATAGCGGGCGGGCAGCTTGTCGGGGCGAGTTTCCCGTACGCGGGGGCGTCGGGAGGGTACGATAAGGACGGATCGAGCGCGGCGTCGTTGGCGAAGAGGAAGCGGGGCGATATCGCAGACGGCGTCAGTTTGATTGACCCAGCCGTCGCGTTGCAAACGAAAATCGAAGAGCGCGAGGCCCAGTGGGCACTCGCACGAAGAGCAGCGCTAGCGTACGTACGAGAACCAACGCACCCGGATCACGTCGCCGAGTTAGAAGAGATCATTCCCGTGCTCAACTCTGTCAAGGGAGAGAACACGGCGAACGTTTCGGATTTGCTTGGCGCCATCAAAGCGTTCCGAACGCTCAACTCTGTGTACGTATCGCTTCACACGTTGAACGACACGGAGATTAAGGACATTGTCGTCGCACTTCAAAAGCACCCGAATGAAACCATCTCGCAGTTGGCGAAGAAACACGTTGCACAATGGATCGGAGCGCTTTACAGCCACGTCGGGACCCTGGCGAGCGTGTATCAGCGCCCAGTCATCCAGGCTCCGAGACACAAAGCTGGCTATGGAGCGCCGAAGGAGGGAGAAACTAACGGTGCGAAACATGACGAGAAGACAGCTCCTAGCTTGCGACAGCGTGCTGTCACACCTACGCCCACTGTTTCAGGCGTGAAACGCAGCGCGGAAGAGGCGTTGCCGAGCACGGCGAAACAAACACCTCCCAAGACGAAGAGTGCCGGGTTGCCAGGTTGCACGCCGCTTGGGAAGGGCCACAAAATCTGCCCCCAGTGTAGCGGCACGTGCGGCTCACCGACGCGAGTGTGTCCTCACTGCGGCGCGCAGTTGCCTTACAAGTCTCCCGCGAGAGCGAAGTCAGAGGAGGCACAGACACCCGGAAAGAAGTAGGCATATCGTATAGCCATCTAGCATTGGAATGAGTTAAATCGACTATAGCATCGGTATCGGCACCATTGTAGACCGAGTCTTTGCGATTTTGGGTTAGGAAGTCGTGGCGGCAAACGTGGCTGCGTACGTTTCGATCCACTTAACAGCTTTCGATCCCTTAATGGCGATCAAGTTCGCGGCTCCGACTTCGCCTATTTCGAATCTGATTTCCGAGGCACGAAGCACGGTTTCGATGGCCAAGAGCCTCCTCTGGGCACTACTCTTACCCGGTTTTACTTTTCCAGCGTATATGAACAGGGCAGGAGGCACTTCACCCTCCTTCAGCTTCGACATGCGTTCCAACAGCACGAGCGTCGCCACCGTCGACTCAGTGCGAGATAACATGTTCATGTTAATTGTACACGAGCCAGACTCGGGCTCCCGTATGCTCAAAGACTCGGAGAACTCTTCGTAAACGCCACTCTTGACTCCGCGGTTGTACATATCACGAAGCTTGGCGAACTTGGTGCCGTTGACAAAGGACGCGGTTGCGCCAGACTCGAGCGATTGTTTTGCGATGGCAAGTTCAACGCCGCCTGACCCGAGGATGGCGTCGAAGAGCGCTGCGTATGTCTCCCGATGAGGCACCAATGCTTGATTCTTCTTAGCCATTTCTACCATCGTCTCGAAGTAATGGATAGCCTCTTCGCTACGATCGCAACGTCCAAGGGCGCTTATTAACACGTTGAAGAGGACGCGGTTCGGTTCAATTCCTGCGGCGCGCATTTCTTCGTACATTTTGATAGCAGTGTCACCATCTCTCGCCTTGGCGCACGTAGAGATGAGACTGCCGTACGTGATGACGTCTGGCTTGATTTCAGCCTTCTTCATGGCTTCGTAAAGCTCAAGCGTAGCTTGCACCGACGATTCATCCTTCGTCCCGTTCAAACCAGCGGCGTGAATGAGTCGGTTGAGCGTACTCGTCTCGACTTCAACGCCAGACTCGCGCATGTGCGAAAACGCTTCGAACGCTTTCTCTGGCATACCGGCCTTGCAGGCGGCGTCGATTAGCAAAGTATACGTATTCTTGTCAGGAGTGATGTCGCCGTTGACTCGCATCTCATCAAAGATTTCGAACGCTGCTTCCACACGAGGCTGCGGCGCGTTCACGCACGCACTGAGAAGTAAGTTGTAAGTCGCTTTTCGTGGCATGAGTCCGTTATTTTTCATACTGACGAACACATCAAGGGCTTTGCCCATCAATCCGCTCTTCGCCATGGACTCTAGAGCTGTCTCGCACGTGAGTCTTGTCGGCGTGATGCCCTCATCCACGAGCTCTTCGAATGTTCGGACCGCGAGGTCGTGCTGATTCGCTCGATTTGCTGCTAAAATAAGTGTGTGATACGCAGCCGGCGGCGCATCGATATCCTCGTTGAGCATCTCTTCAAAGAGGCGGCACGTGCGGATGAGTCTCTCCTTTGGTCCCTTGCGTTTGCCCATGTCGTTGTCCGCGAGAGCCTTGAGGAGCGTCACGTACATCGCCGAGCTCACGGGGAAACCGAGATAACGCATATCGTCCTTAATTCGCAGAGCGTCCTTGATCATCCCAGCCTTGAGCGCTAACTCGATGGCGAGCTGGAACGTGCGAGAATTCATGCCAACCTGTGCCTCAACCATGGCGTCGTATACCTGCACCGCGCGCTCGGGCGCGGAGATACTCCGACACACAAGCATCACCGCCACGTACGTGCTCTCCACGGGTTGAACCCCGGCTTCGCGCATTTCCTTGACCAAATCGAGCACTTCCTCCATGCTCTGACACTGACGCAATACGTCGTTGCACTTCGTCACCACCCCCGGACTGTTCACGTCCGTTTTCTCCTCGTACAAGAACGCAAATGATTTGCTCCTTCTCGCACTTCCTTTTGGTGCCGTCCGCGTCGCGGCCTCGACGGCCTCTCGCTTGACCCGTCGCTTTGCCTTCTGTTCATCCACGCGCTCGAACACGTCCTCGTCCATCGTCCCTCGAAACACGTGCGCGCTCTTCTCCGAGAACGACGCGTCCGTGCGCGTGTCTTCCTCTGAGAAGCTCTCCAACGCGCTCGCGACGTCGTCCGCGCCGAGGTCCTCGAACGCTCGCGCGCGCGTCGTTCGTCTCGGAAGCGGTCGACCGCCTCGCTCTCGCGCGCGCGACGCGCTCGTCGACGCGCTCGTCGACGCGCTCGTCGACGCGCAGGGCGCGCGAGCGGCGCACGCCATCGCGCGCGTGCTCACGCTCGCTTCGACGCGACGAGGGCGACCGGGGCGCGCGCTGGAGTGCCGCGCCGCCGCCGGACGCGAAAAGTGTAAAAGTGCTGACGTCGACGTCATGATTAGTGGCCTCTTCGGGACGCGAGAGCCACGAGGGGCGAGAGGGACGATGAAACGACGAAACGCGCGCGGAGTGAGATTCGTCAACGGGTAAGAAATAAAATACAAAGAGTTTCTAATCGCTCTAATCGCGCGTCGCGGGCTTGCGTTTGTCGGCGGCGACGTAACCGCTTCTGGTGCTCATGAGCGAGGTGTCCTTTGCGATGACTTCGTCCTTTGCGGTGGTGATCACGGCGTTGCGACCCTTCTCACCGTACGCGTGCGTGAGCATGGATTTCCAAGTACGCGTGTCAGAGTCCTGCGCGCGCCAACCGTCCACTTTGGCGCTACTTCCCGGCTCTCTCCCGTTACCGAGCATGAGCGCCGGGACCGCCTTGTCGATGCTCCCGAGGCGCGCCTCCGCCTTGAGGAGCTCCGCCTTGTCGCTACCGTTGATGCCAGAGTTGAAATCAAGCGATAACGACGGCGTCGTAGGATAAGCGCGCTGAGCGAACGTCATCAAACGTTTCACGCTCTGCAAGTACTTTCTCGTCTCTTCGTCATGCATGGCATGCGCTTGGGACGAGGCGCCAATCTTTTCGCGAGCGCTACGCGCGTGAATGCCCACCATGGTCACCCCGATCGGCCACGCCGCGTTGCCAATCGCGATGCCTACGTACGCGTCTGCAGCCTTTTTGTAGTTGCGTTGCTTCATGGACTGCATGATGAGATATAGCGCTCGCTCGACATCGACTGGAATCGTTCGCTTCTTGATGCGCTTGAATAGCGGCTTGAGATGCTGTTTTAGCGTCTCAAAGGTCGAAATCCCCTGTCGTCCCTCGTGCGTGTACGCCCACTCCTCGGGTTTCGCTTCGAGCTCGGCTCCCCACTCTGCGACGAGCGACTTGAAGTACATAGCCACCTGGTCGATGGGTTCCGCGTTCTCAGCCTCTCGCTGCTTCTTCACCTTCTTCGCCGCCTGCGCGAACGCATCCATGAGCGCCTGTTCCTCTGCCATTTTCGCCTCCTCCTCCGTCATTTCCATCGCCGCCTCGCCGCCCGCGCTCGTCATCGCCTTTTTCGTGCTCTGCTCCTTCTTTCGCCTCGCGAACGCCTCCACGCGCTCATCGTCCAGCACCTTTTCATTCGCCTGCGTCGCCGTCGTCGTCGCCTCGTCCTCGATCACGATATTCTTCGTCGCCACCTTCAATCGCAAGATCCTATCCTCTCGCGTCTCCCCGAACATCGTCGCCGGCTGCCCGAGCCTTCGCAGTCGCCGAATCGTCTCCTCCGCGTCCAACGCGTCCATCGCCGCGTCCGCCGCCGCATCGTCCAACACGCGCGCGATCGCGTGCGGTCCATCCCCCGCCCTCGTCTCCGCCCCCGCGCGCGCCCGTCCGTCGTCCGCGTCGTCGTCGCGCGCCCGTTTCTCTCCAACCTCGCCCGCGGTCGGTGTCGCGCCCCCATCGCTCGCGCGCGCGAACCACCGCACGGCGCCGCGCTCGCGCGCGCGCGACGCACGCTCGGCGCGCATGCGCGTTATCTCCGCCGTCGTCGCCTCCATCGCGCGCGCGTCCGACGCCGACGCGAACGACGCCGAGGCGTCGTCGTCGACGCCCGCGTGTGTGTGTGTGGTCGTGTGGGCGAACAGTCTTCACGAGAAATGGCGGGAAACCGCGGGCATTCGGGCATTCGAAATCATCCGTCGTCGCCACACCCGCGCGGCGCATGCTCGCGCGCGCGATCGAGCGGGCGCGACGAACGGGCGTGTCCACGGCGTCGCTCTCGAGCGCGCGCGCGATGACGACGGCGGCGCTTCGAGGCCGAGGGACGATGACGCACGCGACGCGCGTCGGACGCGGACGCGCGTCGGCGTCGCGACGGACGCTCGCGGCGCAGGCGCAGTTCGCCCAGCGCGGGGGGTCGTACACGCCCGCGGGACCGCGATCGACGCGCGCGAAGTCGTTCGGAGAGGGCGGTGGACAAGGGACGACGGCGCCGCCGAGCACGGTGACGTGGTCGCCCGAGCTGGCGAACAGCGTGACGATCATCGGTAACGTCGGAGCGGATCCGGAAATACGACACTTTCCGAGCGGGACGTGCGTGGCGAACGTGCGTTTAGCCGTGAGCGGTGGACGCAAACCCGAGATGACGGACGGTGCGGTCGATGAGGATAAGACGAACTGGTTCGCCGTGGACATCTGGGGAGAGGAGGCGATGCGCATGGCGGAACACGTCTCGAAGGGGAAGACGATTTGCGTGCAGGGAACGCTCAAGACGGACATTTGGACGGACAAAGACACAGGCGCGCCGCGATCGCGCGTGAAAATCGTCGCCAAGAACTTTTCGTTCGTGCAGAGCTCAAAGACGCAAAACGGCGGACAAGCCGGCGGTTACGGCGGACAAGCCGGCGGTTACGGCGGACAAGCCGGCGGTTACGATGGAGGACTGCAGCAACAGCGGAAACAAGCGCCGCCACCACAGCAGCAGCATCAGCAGAAACAAACTCCCCCGCAACAGCAGAAGGGCATGCCCGCCGGGGCTTCTCCGAAGGAGGCACTCTGGCGTTCGCTCGCGGAGGATCCGGACACGTGGTGGGACAACCGTGAACGCAAATCGCAACCCGGGTCGAACCCGCGTCAGCCTGATTTCAAGCACAAGGAATCCGGCGAGGCACTCTGGATCGAAAGCCGCGACACTCCCGCGTGGGTGCTCGAGACGCTCGGCGGAGGTGCAGTCGCCGCGACGCAACAATGGGGCGCTCCTGAAGACGGCGCTTACAGAGGCGCCTCCAACCCGGGCGCGTATGAGCCGGATTACAGCCAGCCGTACGGACAACAAGAGCAGATTCCTCAAGCGCAGTACGCCGGAGGCTACCAGCCTTTGGATTACGGGTACGAGCCCGAGGAACAACAATTCAACCGAGACGACCCACCCTTCTGATTCCGCGAGAGAAATTTTGCGTTTTTAACACTCATTGACGAAAATGTGCAAAGCTTGCTCAAATGAATTAAAATGTATGCGCACTTACTTGCCAGTCTCCATTCGCAAGCCCTTGTGCATCTTGATCGCGTTGTCGATGTCCGCTTGCACGCAGCCGGCATCCTTGAAGTGAACGAGGGACTCGTCAAGCATCGGCCTCCACGTCTTTCCTAATCGAGCTAACATTTGAGAATGCTCAAACAGCGTGTTGCCGAGCATAACGCGGACTTGCGCTTTAAGAGACGGTTCCTCAACCGATGGCGGTTCTTCACCGCGCGCGATCGCTTCGTCCACCAGCGTTTGGAAATGCGCCTTCTCTTCCTCCGTTTTTTCCTTCGGAACTTCCTCCGGCAAGTTACCGAGTGCAGTCTTGTAGTCCTCAGCGGCGCCTTCGAACTCGGCCTCCGCCTCTGCAGCGCGCTTCTTGGCATCATGACCGGATGGGACCTTGCCATCTTCGCCGCTCAGCCCCGCGGCGGCGCAGAGCAAGCGCGAGCGCTCGTATCTACGTTGGGCGAGAGCGATGTGGGTATCGTGGTGATCCGGCTTGATGGAAAGAGCCTTCTCGAACCGCGTCTTAGCGAGTTCCATGAGCTCCTCCACCTCCGCGAAGTTGTCCGCGATAGTAATGGCCGCACCCGGCGTGCCTTCCTCCGTCGGTGGTTCTCGGCCACCATCCATCTTCTTACGCGCTTGGCACATGTGCACGTTACCCCAGTTGAACATGCACGCTGCGGCCGCTTCTTGGAACTTGGCGATCGCCCCGTTGAGAAGTTCCTTGGCTTCGTCGTCACTGATCTCAGTGCTGTTAGCGAGGTCAGACGACAAGTTCATACCCTATGAGCGAGTGCGAAACGTGAAACTAGTTAGTCATCTTTCCGTGAGAAGTCACCGGCGCGAAATGTGCAGGAAAAAAAAAGCGCTCGCCCCATCGAAAGAAGCTCACGATAGGAGCGAAAGACATTTGCAAAAACAATAATCACGGATATCAGTGAAGTAGTAAGTTCTTGTTTGTCGTCATCGCTTCTTTCATAGAGTAACGTCTTCGTCGAAAAAAAATATGCGGCGCTGCGTGTACGTACATCTTGGTTGAGATCCAGGTGCCCTTCGGCATCGATACCGAGGTGCTCTCGGAACAGAGACGAGAAATCCAAAATCCACTCATCAATCTCGACGACTTCGTTCGGTGCAAGTCCGGCGGGCTTACCGTTTTCGTCTACGAGCTCGATGTCCTCAATCTTTGGCAGCTCTTGGATGAAGAGCTTCACGTAAGGGATGAGCGGTGGCGTTGCCAGCGCGCGAAGACGGTTGGACGTCGCGTAAATGGACTTTTGGAAGTCAGACTTGGACTGAACATTCCTCATCACGCCTTCTTCGTCCTCGTACTTGATGGAGAATTGACCCGCGAAGTTAAACTTGGTCGCAATGCTCGTGACGAGGTCCTTGAAGCCAATGGTGGAGAAGACGCTGAACATGCGCACGTCTTGCCCGAACACGGCCTTGATTTGCAACGCTGGAGGATCTTGTTGCGTCATGCGCTGTTGCTGCTGCTGTTGCTGTTGCTGCTGCGCTGCCGCTGCTTCATCCGCCCCGCCTTTATCGCTCTTCTTTGCACCCTTCTTTCCACCAGCCTTCTTTTCCCTTTGGAGCCCCAACCCTCCCAGACCCGCCGGCGCGCTCGGCTTGACGCCGTTAAGCTCGTCCAACGCCCTCTTCGCGTCCACATCTTCGGGATCATGCGTGAGCACGTGTTGCAGATCGCGCTTCGCCTTCGCCACCTGCCCCAAACGCTCGTACGCCTGCGCCCGATGCCAGTACGCCTTGTGGCTCGAGGCGTCGAGCGCGAGCGACCGTCCCGCCTCCGCCACGACGTCCGCGTAGCACCCCAGCTTCATGAAGCACGCCGCTCGATTCGAATAAATCATCGCCCGCGTCGCGTCCCGCTCGTCCAGCAAGTTCAACGCCTGCTCGTACACCTCCAACGCCCGCTTCAGCCGGTTCTCCCGGTACAGCGCGTTCGCCTCATCCTTCAGTTCGATGGCGCGCTGTTGGAACACCGCGTCGTCGGGATCCGCCGCGCGCGGGCCTCGCGCGCGCATCGCCGTCGTGTCGTCTGCCTCCGCGTCGCCCGCGATCGCTCGCGACGTGTGCCGTTCGCCGCGCCCGCGCGCGCGCGCGCCCTCGCCCTCGAGGTTTTCACGCGGGCCCTCTCGACGAGCTATGACTCGTCGCGGACCCCCCCCCGGGGGACGCGTGTGCAGGTTTTGAGACTCCGTCGACGTCACACGCGGACCTTCGAGGGCGCCATCGAGCCAGGCGCGACGACGGCATCGCGCGCGACGCCGCGGCGGTCGCGCGCGATGCCGGGACGGCCGTCGAGCGGCGCGCGCGGACGCCGCGCGCGCGCGCTCTCGCGCAGAAAGCGTCGGGCGCTCGTCCGCGTCCTAGGCGTCGCGTTGATGGTGAGTGGATTAACGGTCGTCGTCTCGAGAGCGTCGACGTGGGCGTCGACGACGGACGTTCGCGGCGATGGGATCGACGGCGACGGCGAGAGCGATGACCCGACGACGACGCGCGATGCCGCGGTGTGGGGTGGGGGGTGCGGCGTTGGGGGAGCGGCGTTCGGGGAATCGACGTGCGCGCGCGAAAGGGAGCACCCGGGGTTGGACGTCTTGGCGACGGCGGTGAAGCCGACGTGCGTGAACGCGGTCGCGATCGCGGCGTTGAATCAGTACGTTGGTCCGAGAAGGATCGTCGTCGTCGTTCCGGATGAGACGCGGTGCGCGGCGTTTCGAGAGATGGCGACGAATGTGGAGTGTCGGGCGGAGGATGAGTTTTTGGGGGGCGTGGAGAGGGGGAGGGTCGAGGCGGCTCTTGAGGAGTTGTACCCGGACGAGCTCGGCGATGAGGGTGCTCGTTCGCGATTTGTCGGGCGCGAACTCGGGGGGTGGTACATGCAGCAGTTGATGAAGCTCGGTGCGTCGACGTCGAAAGCGATCTCGTCGCCGCCGCTGAGTCGAAAGTTTCTGATTTGGGATTTGGATATGATTCCGTTGCGACCGCTGGATTTGTTCAAAAAGGACGACGTGGGGCGTGCGAAGGCGATTCGGCAGATCGGTGGGAATGTCATCAAGTCGTATGAATCGTCTTACGAGACGCTCACTGGAGAGAAGATGACGTACGCCAAGGACGGGACCTCATACGTGACGCATCAGATGGTCGTAGACGCCGACATTGTGGAGGAAATGCTCAGCGTGTTCGCGCGACGGGCGACGCGCATGACGGGTGTTTTCGCTGAATTTCCTCCTTGGGTGACGTCCATCTTAGAATCGGCTAACCGGAAAGATCTCAAGCTCGGATTTAGCGAGTACGCGTCGTACGCGTCGTACGTTGCTGCGCATCACGAGGACGAAGTGGAAGTGTTACCAACGAAAAAGTGGGCACGTGCGAGCGGGGGAAAGCTCGGGATCGCTTTGCAACGGTGGACACACAAATATGGTCTGTGTTGTCCACGCCCGGGCGTGCTAAAGATGATGAAATCGAGGCGTTTGGACTACGTCGGACACGAGATCGGGCACGTCGACAGCTGCAGGTATAACTCACCTGAGCACGAATTCTCCTACGGTTTACCGCTGCGGAACTAAGGAATATTGAGAAGGAATCTTAATATCTAACACTATTGTCTAGTCATCGAGCGTACTGCTCACGTTCCAAAATCGTAGGTTTCCATCGTCACCGCCGCTGACCAGCCTCTCGCCTCCGTGATAATCTACCGCAAAATTCTTCCCATTGTGTGTCGTCACGCTGTGGAGCGGGACTTTTCCACGAATGTCCCACAGCTTCACGGACCCATCGTACGAGGTGCTTACGATGTGATTTTCGTTCGAAGGGTTCCATCGCAAGCACGACACCCAACCCTGCGAAGATTTCAAGCTTCTGTCAGTCACCTGTCGTTTCCCGAAACAATTTTCAGCGCGGAAGATATACAGAAAAAGTCTCAGTAAAAAATTAGAGTGATTGATTGTCCCCTCACGCACGAGTGTCGGGAATCGAGTAATTGTTCATCAGCGACTTCTCAAGAGAGACAAAAACTTGTTGTCGCATCGCATCACGTACCTCGTGAGATTTGAGTTTAAGACACGCCTTTGAAGTTGATTCACGTGGGTCCCAAACGTTCACGAAACGATCGCACCCCCCAAACGCGAAGACGTTCCCCGATGGGGCTACCGACAGGCAGTGCACGCTACTATTTGTGGGGTTGCTCTCCTTCTCCACGCCGGTCTCGACGTCCCACGCGCGGATGGTGTGATCGTACGATCCCGTCCAAAGCACACGCGAGCTCTCCCAAGAAACCGCGCACACCTGATCCGTGTGCCCGTTGAGGACAAGCTCTTCGCCGAGACCGTTATTCTCTGCGTCGTCGTCGTCGTCGTCGTCTCCACCAGTCATTTTCGAGGGCTTCTTGCGCTTTTTCGTCGGCTTTTCGGTCGCAAGCTCGCCTCCCTCAAGCCTCCAAATACGAGCCGTACCGTCGACGGAGCTCGAGGCAAAGAGTCTCGTCCCAATCGCGCTCGCAACGTCTAGGACCGTTGATTCGTGACCCTTAAACACGCGCACTTCACCGATATCACACTTCGTTCCTGTCACAGTGAGTTCGTGCGCGCGCACGGAGCCGTCTGCAGACGCCGAGATCACGACGCACGAGTTCTCCGCATCTCCCGCTGGCGGCGCCAGACTCACCGCGCACACTCGTTCGCAGTGACCGTCGAGCTCACACATGAGCTTACCCTTTGGCGACCACACGTACGCTTTCCCGTCGAACGAACCAGTCACGATCGCCGGCGCCCAACTACCGTCGATCGAGCTGATCCACTCCTCGCACGTGGCTGACTCCGCCGCCTTCGGCGGCTGCAGCGCCGGCACGTACTCACACAGCGTCGCCTCCGCGCTCTTCCCCAAGCGCAGCGCCAGCTTCGCCAAAGACGTCCTGAGCAGAGCGCCATCGATCAAGAAATCAAACGGTGTCGGCTTTTCGTTCCCGAGCAAGTGATTCACGACCTCGCTCAAGCCGTATCGCGTCAGGCGACCCGGGACCTCGATCGCGCTCTCGCTCACGCGATACCGCTCCGGCAGGCGCGTGACGAAAGACACGGCGATGTCGACGTCATCATTGATCGCCGTCATCGTCTCCCGGCGTCTTCACCCCCGGATCGCTCGGTGATCGACGCCGAACTGTCAAGAATCAGCCGCCGCCGCCGCCCACGCCCCGATCCGAGGCAGCGTCTACGGCACCCTCGCGCGCGCTCCGCGTCACCTCTCTCGTCCACGACCGACGCACCGACGCGCGCCGCCTCGATCTTCGCGTGCGCCGCGCTTTCGTCGACGCGTCGCCGACTCTCGCGTCGTCGCGACCGCGTGCGCGTCGCGCGCGCGTCGCTGTAACCGTATTCTATACTGTTCGTCCATACAAAAAACAATCCAGAAACGAGCTCGATCGACTGTCGTCACGTCCCCAGGCGCTCGCGCGCGCTCGCGACGCGCGCCGCGATGTACGCCAGGCGACGATCGAGCGGGAACGACGCGGCGCCGGCCACGACCGCGACGAACGATCGCGGCACCGCGGCGCTCGCGATCGAGAACTCGCGAGAGTCGCAGAGGGTGAGCGAGGGCGAGAAGCGCCAGGGTGGAGGATTCACCGCCGTCGGTCACGTTCGGGACGAAAACGGACGGGAACAGGGGAACGGAAGGACGCGCGAACATGGTTCGACGTCACGGCCGGGCTCGGACGCTGGACGACGCGGGGTGCGAGAGGGGCGGAGACATCGAGGAGCGCTCGAGCGCGCGGACGACACGCTGTGGACGCTCCTGGATAAGATGTGCGCGATCGAGAGCGAGGGCGAAGACGATAAGGACGGTGGAGTAAACGCCGGGGAGTTTGCGCTGAGGGATCGGGCGGAAACGGAGGCGAGGAGCGCGGACGCGGGGGATTTTCTTGGGTTTCGGAACTCGGTGCACGCGCGCGTCGGGGCGATGATCGGAAGCGCGGACACGGCAAAGAAGATGGGTGGTCTGCGAGCAATCGATCAGCTCATCGATGTCGAGTTCGGAGAGGAGGTCGAGAAGGTGCGCAAGTTTGCGGAGTACGTGCTCGAGGTGATGCCACCGGGAGGTGAGGAACGGGCACAGACGAAGGGTGAAGGCGCAAGACACCCGGTGGACGCGCGCAATCCTTTGTGGGGGCTTCCGAGCGCACCGCAGCTTATTGAACTCATGACGGCGGTTATAGGTCGACTCGTCGCGCACGGTGGGGCGCTTACGACAGACATAGTAGATTCTCACGTGCAGCGCGCAGTGGATTTGTTGGAAACGAAGGAAGACAACAAGGAGGCGCTGAGCATGAAGCACTACGCAGCGGTCCGCACCCTGTCGGAGCTCGCGCGGAACGCGCCGACCATCTTTAATGTGCACGTACAAATCGTGGTGGTTGCAATCTGGTCGGCATTGCGCGATCCCTCTTTGCAGGTTCGCGAGGCTGCGGTCTCAGCTCTCAGGGACTGTTTGATGGTGATCGAGCAGAGAGAGACGAGGTACCGGGTGCAGTGGTACTACTCACTGTACGAGTCGTGTCGGGTCGGATTACGATCGGAATCGTCCGTGGAGGCCATGCATGGTTCTCTCCTTGCGTTGGGTGAACTGCTGAGATACACCGGCGAGTTCATGTTGAGTCGTTATCGTGAGGTCGCTCAGACAATTTTTCGTCTTCAAGACTGTAAGGCTTCTATTATTCGAAGGACCATCGTGTTGTTGATTCCAAAGCTCGCCGTTTTCAGCCCGCGACGTTTTGCGGAGTCTTATCTGGTGGAATCGTGCGCACTGATTCTGACGACGATTCGAGCTTCTAGTGATAGCGGAGCAGGATTTGAGGCGCTCAGTCAATTGGCTGACGCCATGTCGCACGTGATCAATCTCAGTACGATCAGCCCCGAAAAGGCGGATGTCGGGGGTGTTCTGCTCCGATATCTACCAGAAGTCAGCGCGGTGATGTACGATCTCTTCACAACTCGAGCTCGAGACCAACAAGGTACTCCGGAGGCTCTCAAGTGCGCTGGCTCGTTGATGAATTCGTTAAACGAGGCTTGGAAGCCACACTTCATGAACCTGATGACGCCGATGTTTATGGGCGATTTGTCCGAGGCTCTGGTGAGCGGTTTAGATTTCGTAGCGAAGAGCTCGCCGGAGTTGATGCCGGAGATCCAGATGAAACTTGCAGATTCAATCGAGAGCGCAATAAGTCAAGGGCCAGAGACAGTGACGCCGAATAGAAAGACTGTGCAGCTCGCTCTACGAACCATGCGCACGTTTCCATTTGAGGCGGTGGCATTGCTGCGTGCGATTAAAAAGAACGTGGTGCCATATTTGAGCGATTCTTCGGCGGAAACGAGGCTTGAGGCGGCTTTAACCTGTTGCAGCACGTTGCGCTTGAGAGTTGGATCGAGCAAGAGCGCGACGCGCGCGGTTGAATATATCATGGCTGCGCTCATTCCCGTCGCCGTCGGAGATACAGACGCTTCTATTAGAAGTTCACTACTTTCGGACTTTTGCAGACCGTGCGCGTCCATAGACTCGTACCTAGGTCAGGCAAAGTCGCTCAGAGCCCTCTTCTTGACAGTCAACGATGAAAGTGTGACAATCCGAATGTTAGGGATAGAATTACTCGGTCACTTGGCGACGAGAAATCCGGCTTACGTGTTGCCAGCTTTACGTGCACACATGTTACAGCTGCTCGCGGAACTAGAGTTTAGCAGTGAGTCGCTGCACAGAGAGGAGAGCGCGAAGGTGTTGGCGGTGCTCATTCGGAGTTGTCCTCGTTTCGTTGCTCCGTATCTCTCAGCAATTTTGAACGTTCTCACGGCCACCTTACGAGCGGATGAGGGCGGTTCGTCTGCAACGTCGACGTCGACGCGCGAGAGTATGACTGCATTGAAAGGCCGTCTGCAGAGAACAGGGTCTAGCGGGTCCGGAGCTTTGACATCATCCATTCCGGCCACCCTACGAAAGAGACGAGACGTCACTGGACGTGAAAAAGCCGCCGTGCTCGGTACCATCGGCGAGCTTGCGAACGTGAGCGGAAGCGAAATCAAGCCTTTTGTACAACCACTTTTAGCACTCTTACTGATCGCTCTGAAGTCTCCGAGCACGCGAGATGAGGCGGTGGTGACACTTGGCAAATTGATAGAAAGCTCCGGTTATGTGGCGGATCCGTTTACAACACACCCGCAGCTCTTACCTCAGTTACTTCGTATCCTCGCGAATGAACGTGGTATCGCTCGGAATGAAGTGCTCCGGACCCTCGGTTGCCTAGGAGCCCTCGATCCATATGCTCACAAGGCGAATGAAATTCGTCTGCACGGCGAGGGCGTCCTCAGTGCGGATGGTGTGCGGGGCGTTCGCCAAGCGAGCCTCAAACTTGCTGCGGGTACGGGAGAAGACGATATTTTGGATGAATTTTTGAATAACGCTGACGGAGACGATGAGATTGACGTCCTACCTACGCTCCATTTGACGTCTTTATCGGACGAGTACTATCCGACAATCGCGTTGAATTCGCTGCTGAGAATTCTTCGAGACCCTACTCGCACGAGTCATCGTCTCATGGTCATCAGAAGCATTGTTTACATTTTTCAAGTTCTGGACACGGGCTGTGTGCAGTATCTACCGAATGTCCTTCCGGTTATGCTGAATGTGATTCGTACGAGCGATCCCAGCCGGCGCGAAGATATGTTTGTAGAACTTGCAACTCTCGTGAGCGTCGTCAAGGCGCACATTCGTCGATATTTGACGGATATATTTGAACTCATGCATCTCACTTGGGACGTTACTGGAATGTCTAAGAACACGATTTTGCTGTGCGAAGAGTTATCGTTCGCTCTAAACGACGAATTTAGGAAAAATCTTCCGACGATCATTCCTAGTGTTGTCGCGGCATTGGGTGAAGCGGAACGCTTGCGCAAGTACGATTTGGTACCGCACATCCTCCACGCACTCGAATGCTTCGGTGTGAGTCTTAACGACCACCTGTATCTTCTGATGCCGCCAATTATGCGTTTGCTAAAGCATAGCGTCATATCTGTTCCTGTGGAGATCAAAAAATGCACGTTGGAATCGCTCCGGAGATTACTGCCAATCATGAACCTGTCTGACCAGGCGGCTCTTATAGTGCACTCGTTGACACGGGTGCTCGATGACGAGAGAATGGAGTTGAGAATGGAAGCTCTGTGCGTTCTTACGTCTCTGGAAGTCTCCCTAGGGCGGGATTATGCTCTTTTTCTACCAGTGGTAAAGCGTGCCGTGTCGAAGTGTGGCGTTAACGATCCTGCTTTCGACGAAATGGTAAAACGCGTCGAGTCTGGCAATGTTTTGCTTTACCCGGATGAGGAACTTGAAACCTCATCCGTCGTGGCGACGGCGCGGAAAAAGCCGGATATTCAACGGCGATTATCTGTCAACCAATTAGCAATTCGTCGCGCTTGGGAAAGTAGCCAGCGGTCAACGAAGGAAGACTGGCTTGAGTGGATGAGACAACTTGCACTCGACTTGCTGAAAAGCTCGCCTCTTCCATCGCTACGAGCTTGCAGTGAACTCGCGCAAGTGCAGCCAAACCTCGCCAGAGATTTGTTTTGTGCATCGTTTGTTTCTTGTTGGGCTGAGTTGAACGAGAGTCACAGAGAAGTACTCGTTCGTTCGCTGGAAGCCGCCCTCGGCAGTCCGACGATTCCACCGGAGATCGTATCAATTTTGCTCAATTTGTGTGAATTCATGGAGCACGATGAGAAACCGATTCCCGTTGACGTTCGAACGTTAGGAATGATTGCCGAGAGATCTCGGGCATACGCCAAAGCGTTGCACTACAAAGAACTCGAGTTTGTGACGAACCCAGGAGCATGTGTGGCGGCGATCATCGCCATAAACAACCAGTTGCAGTTGCCAGAGGCCGCTCGAGGCGTTCTTGTGTATGCGCAAGAAAATCTGAGCGTCGTGATCAAGGAATCGTGGTATGAAAAGCTCGAGCAATGGGACGACGCTTTGGAGGCGTATAAACGCAAGATGGACGAAGTCATGCACGTTACTACGCCTAATGCTATGGAAGAGCGGCGCGAGGCAATGGCCGGGCAGCTTCGATGCTTGAACGCACTCGCAGAATGGGAAGAAATTCACAGAATCAGCGAAATAGCTACCAAGTCGAATGTCGATTGGGACGATTACAGCATTGATGTGACTACTATAGCCACAAAGGCTGCATGGTACCTAGGCGACTGGGAGCAGATGGAGGTTCTCACTGACAAGCTTGAACGCGATCAGCGTTCTCAGGGACGGCTCCCGACTGCTGACCGCGCGGAGCTTGTCTCGAAGCACAAAACAAGTGTGGTCAATGTCACTGACTGCGACTTCTATAAATCCATAATCGCCTTTCGCAAAGGGAATCAAGAGGAGGCGCGAACGCATCTCTCCGCTGCACGCGACAAACTCGGCACCGAACTTCCCGCGCTTGTCAGAGAATCATACGATCGGTCTTATCGCGCGCTGATTCGTGCACAGCAGCTCACCGAACTCGACGAGGTGATCGAGTACGCACAACTTACGGCCGTTGCGTCTCCAGCGGCTTTGCAGAGACAGGAGGTCATTCGGAAGATGTGGAGAGATAGAATCTACCTTGTGAAACGAGACGTTGAGGTTTGGCAAGAGCTCTTACAAGTTCGCTCATTAGTTTTACCGATGAGCGAGGAGACAGATATATGGCTCAAATTTGCGGCGCTCAACCGCAAGCAAGGGCGTGACCGTCAGTCTCGCCGTACGCTGCTACGATTGCTTGGGTATGATCCTATGCTCTGTGCGGAGGAAACGGCCGGTTTCGGCGCAGGATCTGGACGACCGAAGGTTATGTTCGCATTCATCAAGCATCTCTGGCACACTGGTCAAAAAAGACAGGCATTCATGCGACTCCAGTCTCTAGCGCATGAGCTGCGAGTGACATGGGAAAACCAACGATCATCTGGGCAGCCGCCGGAAGTGGAGCACAACAAGACGGTTTCGCGGGCATTCTTAAAGCTCGGAAAATGGAGATGGGCCCTGACCGATTGTATGAATGATGAGACACTGACTGATGTATTGATGGCGTTCAGAACAGCCACGGCTGCCGATCAGCAGTGGTCAAAAGCCTGGCATCACTGGGCCTTGTTCAACGCCACCGCCATGGAGCACTTCCATCGTCAAGGTGGGGCGTCTACGCAAGATGCAATGCAGCACGTTGCACCTGCAATCAGTGGATTCTTCCGCTCAATTGCGCTCGGCGGTGGCAAGACCAACGCGAAGCAGGGCGGTTCCTTGCAGGACATCTTGCGTTTACTCACCCTGTGGTTTAATCATGGTGGAACCGCAGAAGTTGAGACTGCATTGATTGAAGGGTTCGGCCACGTAAGTATCGATACTTGGCTCGCCGTCATTCCGCAAATCGTGGCAAGAATCCACACGCACGTCATTCCTGTGCGAAATTTGATTTACCAGCTCCTCATTCGAGTTGGTCGACAGCACCCTCAAGCGGTTTTATATCCTCTTCTCGTCGCATGCAAGAGTCAAAGCACATCCAGGCGTGCTGCAGCCAACGCCATTTTGGACAACGTGCGCCAACATAGCGCACTACTCGTCGAACAGGCGCAGATTGTATCCCTCGAACTCATCCGAGTCGCAATTGTATGGCACGAGGCGTGGCATGAAGCGTTGGAGGAAGCTTCGAGACTGTACTTCGGCGAGCAAAATGTCGACGGTATGATGGCTGTGCTCACACCGCTACACCACATCTTAGAGCGACAAGGCGCAGAAACTTTACAAGAGATGGGATTCGTACAGAATTACGGTCGTGAGCTGCAAGAAGCGCACGATCTCTGCCAAAAGTATCAAATGAGTAAGCGTGAAGAAGAGCTAAATCAAGCATGGGACTTGTACTATCACGTGTTCAAACGCATCACGAAACAACTTCCAACCATGACAACGTTGGAATTGCAGTACGTCTCGCCTCGTTTGCTCAACTCTCGCGGCTTGGAACTCTGTGTTCCAGGGAACTATATTTCAAGAGCGACAGAGCAGGCTAAAATCAGAGCGTTTGCACCGACGATGCATGTGATCACTTCTAAGCAACGTCCCAGGCGGCTTCAGATTCATGGTTCAGATGGTAAGGATTACGGCTATCTGCTGAAGGGTCACGAGGACTTGCGTCAGGATGAGCGCGTGATGCAACTGTTCGGTTTGGTGAACACTTTACTGAACAGCAACATGACGACGCAGCAGAAAGATCTAGGTATCGCGCGTTACGCTGTCGTGCCTCTTTCACCAAACAGTGGACTGATCGGATGGGTGCCGAATTGCGACACGCTACACGCGCTGATACGAGAGTATAGAGAAGCGCATAAAATTCCACTCAATCTGGAGCACAGAATGATGCTCGCGATGGCACCTGATTACGACCATTTGCCATTGGTTAACAAGGTTGAGATTTTCATGCACGCCGTCGAAAACACTTCGGGCGGAGATTTGGCGCACGTTCTCTGGTTGAAGAGTCGTAGCAGCGAACAGTGGCTCGAGCGTCGCACGACGTACACGCGATCGCTCGCAGTCATGTCCATGGTGGGCTACCTTCTCGGACTCGGCGATCGACATCCATCAAACTTGATGATCGATCGATACAGCGGTAAAGTGCTTCATATCGATTTCGGTGACTGTTTTGAGGCGTCAATGTATCGGGAAAAGTTCCCTGAAAAGGTTCCCTTCAGATTGACTCGTATGCTCGTCCGCGCCATGGAGGTGAGTGGTATCGAGGGCAATTTCCGAAGTACGTGTGAGAGCGTCGTTACCGTCTTGCGAGATAACAAGGATTCGGTTATGGCGATGTTGGAGGCGTTCGTACACGATCCTCTTATCAATTGGCGTCTATTGACCCACAAGATCGTTCCAGATAATGATGAAAATGAGGTGCAAGAAGTCGCTCTTCGATCCAGTAGCGCAAGTGATAGTGGGAATTCCACCCCGCAACCGAAATCGCGCGGCGCGGGGTCGAAACGACCACCGAGCGTAGGGGTCGTCGATACTCCATCTGGACCTGTGCCTTCGAGTTCATCCGTTATCGGAGTCGAGGCCGCGCACGCCATGGCCGCGATGAGCTCCAGTGTACGCGACCACCCCTCGCAAGCTGGGTCAGTGCTTTTTCGTCGAACGGAGCTCATACACGCACTAGAAACGTACGGCATGGATGACGGCGCGAATGAAGCTCTGAATGAACGAGCGGTGAGCGTGATGCAGCGAATGAGCGCAAAGCTCACCGGCCGCGACGGAGAGCACCATCACGTCGATACAATGCTCCCAGATACGGTTGAAAAACAGGTGCGACGCTTAGTCGCTGAAGCGACGAGCGCAGAGAATCTCAGCGTCTCGTATGTAGGCTGGTGCCCATGGTGGTAACAGCTCTGTCTGTAAAATATGTACTACAATTTCTAGATGAGCGTTTTCGCGTAGTGAGAGGCGTCCTTAGCTCGATCACTCTTGTCGTCAACGCTCCTTCGAGGCGACTTCGGTGACATGGCTGCACGCTCATTCGTTTCCGAAGAAGACGCGGTTGACATTACCCTCGAAAATTCCGGCGCGGGAGGCGGCTTCCAAGTGGAATCCGACGTAGAGTTGCCTTGTACGCGTTTGATCGGCACGTCCTCCTCCATGAAAGATCGACCGTTTGAGCCGAATGACGGAGTTGCTTCCCACGGCTTGCCAGGCCGATTCGCGCTCGATGTCGGGATGGCCGCGTTGGGGTTCGGTGGCGTGTCGTCGACGTCCTTGATCCCGGGCGGGGTCTTCCCGTTTTCAAGCATTTGGAGAATGTCCATGAAGTTTCCGGGGTGCGGAGGGTCGACCAAGGATTCGTCGCTTGCTCGGTTCGGAGGTCGTTGCGTCTGCAACGCGGAAAAGTAGTTCGGCTGTTCCGAGGGCGTCGTGGCAATCTGCGATACGTCGTAACGCGGCGGTTTCATGCGAGATTCTGGCGTGAAAGCGTCGCTCTCGCCATCCGATTCACTCTCGGGTGGACTCGCCTTGAGCGGCCATGTTTCATTCTTTGCCGAAGACGTCCGAACCGGAGACTCGGTGTACGCCCTCTTTAGCTCCGCCATCTCCAGACGAATCTGCGTCTCGAGATCCGATTTCAAGTCCCGCACGCTCTCCCTCACGTCCCGCTTCATCTCTTCTCGAAGTTCCACCGCCCGCTCCTCTGCGCGTTCAGCGCTCTCCACCACGAGCTCGAGCCTTCGAGTCAACTCCGGGGTCAACCCATCGGACGTGAACTCCGTCCGCGGCGTCACCATCGGCGTAGACATCACAGTCGCCGTCGTCCCTTCCTTCCCACTCTCCGCATCGCCCTTCTTCTCCAAGTAATCCCGCGCGCGCTCGAGCAACCGCCTCGCGCTCGGATACGCCAAGTACCCCGCCCCCACCAGCGCCACCAGGCGAAGCGCGCTCGACGCCATCGACCCCTTCACTCCCTCCGCCGGCATCTTCACCCCCCCGCCCTCCCCCGACGCGCTCGCGTCCTCTCCCGCCCGTCTGAACGCCTCGTCGATCTCATCCTCGCGCAATCCTTTCCCCTCCAAGAATCCACGCTTCGCCCGCGCGTCCGCGGACGCCCGTACGTTCGGATGCCTCAGAAACGTCACCGCGCTCGCGATCGCGTCCTCCCCCATCGCCGTCGTCGCGCGCCGCCGTCTCCCGTCGCCGTCGTCGCGCCGCGTGGTGATGAGCACCTCGAGCGACGACCGACCATCGACGCCAGTCTCGTAGTCGACGCCGCCGACAGACCATCGCGCGCGCGTTCGGTGTCATAATACCTGACGGGTCGTGACCCGTGGCGATAAATACCTCGAGCGACGACCGACCATCGACGCCAGTCTCGTAGTCGACGCCGCCGACAGACCATCGCGCGCGCGTTCGGTGTCATAATACCTGACGGGTCGTGACCCGTGGTGATAAATACCGTCGACCTCGGCGGCTCGCGCGCGCGCCGCGGCGTCGCCTCGCGCGTCGGCCGGGGACGACGCCGCACGTCCACGCCCGCGCGCGCGCGGACGATCGAGCGACGATGGACGCGGTGTGGACCGCGCCCGCGTCGCGCGCGGCGATCGCGCGCGCGGCGCAGACGCGGAAGAGCGCGTCGCGATCGGCCTCGGGCGGCGCCGCGGCGTCGAGCGGGACGTCGACGCGCGGGCGCGATCGAGTCGCGCGCGTCGCGCGCGCGAGATTTGGATCGATGCGGTGCGAGCGGTTCGTCGCGGTGGCGTCCGTGGGGTCGGAGAGCGCGGTGACGCGAGCGCCGAGACCGGCGTACGTTCCGGGGGTTATCTCGGACCCGAAGTACGTGCGCGTGTTCGACACGACGCTGCGCGACGGTGAACAGAGCCCGGGAGCGACGCTGACGAGTCGCGAGAAGCTGGATATCGCGACGTCGCTGGCGAAGCTCGGTGTGGACGTCATCGAGGCCGGGTTTCCGATCGCGAGTCCGGACGATCTGGAGGCGGTGCGAGGCATCGCGAAAAAGGTTGGCAACGAGGTGTACGAGGATGGATACGTGCCGGTTATTTGCGGGTTATCGCGAGCGAATAAGAAGGATATCGACGCGGCGTGGGAGGGCGTTCGTCACGCGCTGCGACCGCGCATTCACACCTTCATCGCGACGAGCCAGATCCACATGGACTACAAGCTGCGCAAAACCCCAGATGAGGTGGTGCAAATCGCCGTGGACGCCGTCAAGTACGCTCGATCGCTCGGGTGCGAGGACGTGGAGTTCTCGCCGGAAGATGCGGGTAGATCCGATCCTCAGTTCTTGTACCGCATCCTGAACGCCGTGGTCGAGGCGGGGGCGACGACGTTGAACATTCCGGACACGGTCGGGATTTGTTTGCCGGATGAGTTTGGGACGCTCATCAAGGGCATTAAGGAGAACGTGAAGGGTGCGGGGGAGACTGTGGTCATCTCTACACACTGTCAAAATGATTTAGGTCTTTCCACGGCGAACTCTTTGGCGGGCGTCGCCAACGGTGCGCGCCAGGTTGAGTGCACCATCAACGGCATCGGAGAGCGTGCGGGTAACGCGTCGTTGGAAGAAGTCACTATGGCCATCTTCATGCGTGGACAAGAGCGATTGATGGGTGCCTATACGGGTATCAATCCGGTGTACATCTACCCGTCGTCTCAGATGGTGAAGAATTTCAGTGGTATGGCCATTCAGCCGCACAAGGCGATTGTTGGCGCGAATGCATTCGCTCACGAATCCGGCATCCACCAAGACGGTATGCTCAAGAATAAGCTCACGTACGAAATTATCGCTCCGGAGCAAATCGGTTATTTCCGAGGCGAGGACGAGTGCGGCGTAGTGATGGGTAAGCACTCCGGCCGCCACGCCTTGTCTTCCAAGTTGAAGCAACTCGGCGTGCCGATGGAGGGTGCGGCGCTCGATGAAGTCTTCAACCGCTTCAAGCTCGTCGCAGAGACGAAACTCGGTGGGGTGAACGACGACGAATTGTTGGCAATCGTGCGTGACGGTGAATCCGTCCAAGATCCGGCGTGGTCTTTGGAAACCGTTCAAGTCGTGTGCGGCACCACCGGTTTGCCCACGGCGACGGTGAGGATGAACAACAGAGATGGCACTCAACACATCTCCGCCGTGGTCGGCACCGGTCCGGTCGACGCCGCGTTCAAGGCCATCGATGCGCTGGTTGGTTTGGACGTCGTACTCACCGAGTACCGAGTCACCGCGGTGACTAAGGGTATTAACTCGATGGCGGAGACTACCATCACCATCAAGCCAAAGGAGGGCGTGGAACAAAAGCTCGGCACGGATGTCTACAAAACCAACGTCCAAACGGGCGAGAAGACCATGCGCGCGTTCACGGCTACCGGTGCAGACACGGATATCGTCGTCTCGTCTGCGCGTGCCTACGTCATCGCGCTCAACCGTATGGTTGAGTACGTCGCCAAGGCGTACGTACACGCCGAACCCGTCAGCCGATGAGTGTCGCCACTAGCACAGCCACCTAGATATTTCGTGTGAAAACTAAAGTCTACGTTTTCAACCATTTCACATTGCCGACTCATCTCGCTCGACGCCACCGTAAACGCGCGTCCCTCGACTCGCGCGTCGCTCCGCGTTTCCCTCGCGCCGAATCCCCGAGATCGCCGCCCTCGTCATTTCTTCACTACGCGCCTCTCCGCATTCACGATGAGCACGTACGTCTACGTCGACGCCGACGGTGGCGGTACCGAACGCAAGGCGGTGCAAAGGCGAACCGTGGATTACACCGCCACCACCGTGCGGTACGTCGAGGAGCGTTTATACTCGAAAGATCCTTGGGACTCCCCGGCGTGCCTCCCTCGACCGCTCCCCGGGGCTCTGTTAGACTTTATGCCCCCGGTGGCGTACCCGCACTTGCCCGCGACGTCATTCGCGACGAAGTTCGTGCACGTGAGCAGTAATAAGATCCGAACGAGCGTGAACAAGGTGGCATTCATGCCGGACGGGCGGCGGTTGCTGACGTGCTCACAAAACGGGGAGTTCACGCTGTGGAACGGGATGTCGTTCAACTTTGAGACGATCCTACAGGCGCATAGTGGGCCGATTCGGTGCGCGGAGTTCAGTAACAACGATAACTGGCTCCTCACGGGGGATGACGAGGGAAACGTGAAGTACTTTCAGATGACGTTTAATAATTTGCGGTCGTTTCAGGTGCACAAGGAGCCGGTGACATCGATCTCGTTCGCAAGATCGGATCTGAAGTTCGCAACTGGGAGCGACGACGCGACGGTGAAAATTGTAGATTTCGCTCGCGCGGAGACTGAGTACACGCTGAGTGGGCACACCGGAGACGTGAAGACGGTGCAGTGGCATCCGTGGTTGGGACTTGTCGCGTCGGGGGGCAAGGACGGCGCGGTGAAGATGTGGGATCCAAAGAGCGGACACTGCGCGACTACGATGCATGGTCATAAAGGAGCGATTACGTGTTCGAAATGGAACAAAAATGGGAACTGGTTGGTGACCGGTTCAAAGGATCAAACGTTAAAAGTATGGGATTTGCGCATGCTTAAGGAAATTGGGACGTATCGCGGTCATGGAAAGGACGTCACGGAGGTCATTTGGCACCCCACACACGAGCCACTCTTCACGTCGGGATCGCTCGACGGCTCGATGAATTATTGGCTCGTCGGTGCCGGCGAGGCGCCGCACGCCGAGATCAAGGGCGGTCACGAAGGGGCGATCTTGAGCTTAGCGTGGCACCCGGCTGGTCACATCTTAGTGAGCGGATCCGCGGATAACACGACCAAGTTTTGGTGCAGAAACCGTCCGGGTGAAGTTGCACGCGACACCGCGGCTGGCCGCATGCCAGCCGGCGGCGCAGTCGAGGAAGTGATTCCGACAACCGTTCCTCGCCCGAACGCACCGCCCGGTTTACCTCCGGGGGTGGGACAAGCCGGGGCGCCGCCTCGCCGTCCCGCATCGGCACCGCGCGCCGCTCCTCCTGGTCGGAGTCGCGCCCCACCACCAGCCCCACCGCCCGGCGCACCGTCGTTCAACCGCCCACCACCGTCCGCGCCGCCGACCGGCCGACCCGGTCCGCCGCCCGCTCGTCCGCCGCCCGCTCGTCCGCCCCCGGGAGGCCGCCCACCCCCGCGCGCGCCCGCGCGTCCACCGCCCGGACTCCCGCCCGGTCTCGATCGTCGTCGATAAACGCGCTTACTTTAGCCATTCGCGTTGTGCATGACGCATCATAGCTCCACGCCTCGCCTCGCCTTTTCGTCGTCGCCCGCGCGCTCGTCCGACTGGACTGGATAACAACCACGTCATCGATCCCGTTCGCTGGACTCACAGACGCGCGTCGTCATCGCGATGTCGGCCGTCTTCGCGCAGCGTCAATCCATCACCACCGCCCGCGTCCATCAGCGCGCGCCCGCCCGCTCGCGCGTCGTCGCGCGCGCCGGGAAGGCGACGCAAGGAAAGGGTCAGGGCGATCTCGATGTTGTTCGACTCACCGCGAGCGACGGCACCGCGGCGGAGGTGTACCTGTTCGGCGGCGTCGTCACGAGCTTCAAACCGAAGGGTGGCGACGATGTGTTATACGTCCGACCCGATGCGAAGTTCGATAAGTCGAAGCCGGTGCGTGAAGAGGGCGAGAGGAGGGACGGGACGCGGGACGAGAGCGCGAGCGAACGGACGAGAGACTGACGGGTGCGATCGTATTGATTTCGGGCGTAGATCTCCGGTGGTTTACCGCACTGCTGGCCGCAGTTCGGCCCGGGGGCGATTCAAGTGCACGGGTTCGCGCGTAATGTCGATTGGAAGTTGGTGAGCACGACGGACGAACCGCCGTCGATGACGATGGAGCTCACACCAAGCGATTACACTCGAGCGATGTGGGACAAGGATTTCAAGGTTACGGAGACCGTGACGTTGAAGGACGGCGCGCTCGAAGCGGTTCTTACCGTTGAGAACCCGGGTGAGGAGGCTTTCGAGTTCACTGGCTCGTTCCACACGTACCTCGCCGCGGACATTAACAAGGCGGCTGTCGGCGGCTTGAACGGGTGCAAGACTTTTGATCGCCTCGGTGAATCGGAGTCTACCGTCAACGGTGACGTCAAGTTTTCGGGTCCGATCGATAGCGTCTACTACGGTGTCCCGGAGACGCTCACGCTCGCCACGGGTAAGCGCACGGTCACGATCAAGTCCAGCAAGGCGTGGACCGAGGCCGTCGTGTGGACGCCTTGGACGGACATGCCTGCGTGCTACGAAGAGTTCGCGTGCGTCGAATCCGCCGCCGTGACCCCTGTCACCGTCGCCCCGGGCACATCTTGGACCGCTACCACCACTCTTTCGGCGTAATACCTCGAATATCGCATGCATTTTCATTAAAGAGCGATGTCTAAAAAAATGTTGTCGACTCAAAAATATTTGTTACCGAAGACTTTTGCGTCGTGCTCCTTCTTAAAGTCGTCTCGTGTCTGCGTGCCCGCGACCTCGCCTCGGTCTGTCAAAGTTGTGCGATCCAAACGCACGTGGTGTGGTGGCTGCAGAACCGCCCTCTGTGCGTCCGTCATGTTCTCATCCTCTGTGCCCTCAGGCCAAGTAGGATAGTATGAGCGACCGTACGCGTACGTCGATGGCGCAAATCTATACAACACCGCGCGGCGCGTGTGCTTAGCCTTCCACGCCATCGTCCCGTGCGTCGCCGCTTCGGTGAAAATCAAGACATCCCCGGCCTCGATCTTCGGGTTCACGACGAGATCCTGACGCGATTTGTACTCTAAAATCGCCTGCGGACACGGAAAACTAGATTTGTGAGACCCGGGAATGATGCAGAACCCACCATCTCCCGGCATCGTATCGCTCAAAGCCACGCTCACGCCGATGAGTTGATTATATAACTTTCCTCCCTCGCATGTGTACGCCAGCTCTTGACACCACGTACCGTCAGGATTCATCCGTCCTCCGTGAAACACGAACCCGTCCGCGCCCGTCTTTTGTTGAATCATCAGCGGCAAGTGATCCATGCGATAACCCTCACCCACGAGCTCGTGATAATACGGTACCAACTTTTCATGTGCGAGCATCGACCGGAACACATCGCAATCACCGTCGCTCCACGCCAACATGCCGCCCAAATCCGCCCGTCCCGTCTCGCCGTCTCCCGCGAGCGGATCCCCCGCACTGCCGCCAAGGCGCAACCGCCCCTTCCTTTCGACGATCTCCGACGCCCGCTTATCGATCGCGGCATTCATTCTCTTCACCTCATCCGCGTCGTACACCCCTTTCACCACGATGTACCCGGTGAGATCGAACGCGAACTTTTCCTCGGGCGTCATCGTCATCGTCGTCGACGTCGACGTTTCTCCGTCGCTCGCCCTGGTGATCACGCGCGAGTTCGCTCGAGATCGACGACGATGCCAAAATCGCTCCCGCGGTCCCGTCGCGACGGTCGCGGGTGCGCGCGCGCGCGCGAGCGTCATGAATTACCGTCAGGTGCCGCCGCGGTCGCGGTGCTACTTGTTCTTTTTTTTCATCAGAAACTGTTTTCTCCGGGTCCGAGCGACCGAGCGCGAACGCGTCGGCACACCTCGCACGCGTCCATCGCGCGGCGATCGCGTCGACGAGAACGATGACGACGCGCGAGATGTCGCGCGCCGCGCGCGCCGCGGGGCGACGCCGCGCGCGCGGGACGAGCTCCGCGCGCGGGGTGTTGGGCGCGATGGTGTTGGCCGTCCTCGCCGCGTGCGCGTCGACGGCGCACGGCGCGCGACACGCTCGAGGGCTTCGCGGTTCGGGCGCGGCGAAAGAGTCGAAAACGGTGGCGACGCAGGCGCGCTTGACGTGGGGTGATCTCAAGCGAGCGCGTGAGCGATCGATGGATGAGTACGTCGCCACGCTCGCCGCGGCGGACGGACCGTTGACGTGCTCCGCTGACTGCGCGCGGTTCACCAAGCAGCATAAGGTGTGCGAACGACGTGTGGGATGTAACCTCGTTGACTCTAACTCGGCCAAAGCGCATGCTGGAAAGGTGTGCGAAGCGAAACCAGAGATTGAAACCAACAAGCCGTGCCCGCGTGATAAGTTGGATGAGCAATACGTCAAATCTCGAAACGGTCAATCGAACGAAAATGACATGTACGCCGACGATACTGGGCTCCAAGGTTGCCAAAAAACGTGCGAAGCCAACGGCGGACTCGCCGAAGACGCGTGCAGGTCTACGACCGGTTGCAAGTGGGTCCCTAACGCGGTTCCTTACGGGCAATGCTGGAGCCAAGTCGGTCCGAACGCGTGCGACTCCAAGGTGAAGGAGGACACTTGTATTTTCGAGTGCATGATGCTCTCGCATCAAAAGAAGGCCTGCTCGGGCCGACTGGGCTGCCGTCTCGTGGAGCACAAGGACAGCGACAGCGACGATGCTCAAGACTGGCACTGCGAAGCCGTGGACAACTTCCCAGCCGACGCGCAGTGCCCGAAGTCCAAAGCGGCGCTCGATAAATTACTTGCCGGAGGCTCGCCCACAGCGCCGACATCCCCCGAAGCGACGCCGACGCCTGAGCCGACGCCTGAGCCGACGCCTGAGCCAACGCCGACGCCTGAGCCAACGCCTGAGCCAACGCCCGAGCCAACGCCGACGCCTGAGCCAACGCCAACGCCTGAGCCAACGCCGACGCCTGAGCCAACGCCGACGCCTGAGCCAACGCCGACGCCTGAGCCAACGCCAGAGCCAACACCGACGCCTGAGCCAACGCCTGAGCCAACGCCGACGCCTGAGCCAACGCCTGAGCCATCGCCGACGCCTGAGCCAACGTCTGAGCCAACGCCTGAGCCAACGTCTGAGCCAACACCTGAGCCAACGCCGACGCCTGAGCCAACACCGACGCCTGAGCCAACGTCTGAGCCAACGCCTGAGCCAACGTCTGAGCCAACACCTGAGCCAACGCCGACGCCTGAGCCAACACCGACGCCTGAGCCAACGTCTGAGCCAACGCCGACGCCTGAGCCAACGCCGACGCCTGAGCCAACGCCTGAGCCAGCGCCAGCCCCTGAATCTACGCTCGGGGGTGCGTTTTCGAGACTTGGACTGTCGCGTGAGACATCCGCGATGCCATCTACGATGACTGTTTTTGCCGTTTTCGGCGCCGTTGTCGCGGCTGCTGCGTATCACAACGCACAACGTCGGCGATACGGAGAATACGAACCACTTCTTCGCGACACTTCTTACGGTGCCTGTCCTTAGCTCGTGAGCTATTCTGTTTTTCGTGACTTACGGTAGTCTGAAAATGTTTATCTAATAATCATACGAGGCAATTTTCTCTAAAATTTTACTTCAAGTCTACTGAGCGCTTTGCTAATCCATACGGTTCTTCAACGTACGCGTGATCGGCCCATCCTTGGTGATCAATGTCACGATACCCCCCCAACCGCTCAAACAATCGCGGTTCACGCCGGCGTTCAAGCAGTTACCGATAACGTTGAACAACTCGTCGGGCTCTAAATCCTTCCTATAAAATGACTCGCACACGCCAAAGAGCGACTCCACGTTGTCCCCAGCCACGACGAAATCGTCCGCCGATGCGTCCGCCCCGATCAGGTCCATGCTCGTGATGTACGGCTTCCCGTCTTTGTCCAACCCAGCGACCACCGGCTCGGTGTAGTATGGCTGGAATCGCTTCTCATACAGCGTCGTGCTCACCACACTCGCAAACACCTTCGGCGACATCACTCGGTTCTCCCTGAGTTCGTACATATCGTGCTTAAATCGAAGCTTTTGCGCCAGCGTGAGCTGATCCGCGATCAGCCCCGTGAGACCGAGCCACAGCTTGTCGTGAATCTTATGCAGCTTGGAGTAATCCACCGCCGTGGTTTGGTTTTGGTTGATGCCTAGGCGCAGATCGGACGCGATCGCCACGCAGTCTTTCCCCACCATCGCTACGTCGCGAAAAGACACGCCCGGTCGCATGCTTCGGTCAGTCCGTGATTCGACCACGACGCTTCGATCGAGTTCGCGCGTCGTCGCTCGCCGCGGTCGCGGTCGTCGCGTCGAGTCGTCACCGAGCGCGATCTCAAAACTCTCTCTCGCGCGCCTCTCTCTCGCTCTCGCGCCGCCTCGCGCGCGCACCTATGATGGCGGAGCCGTTCTGATTCATGATGCTCATCCTTCCGCACGTCCGCGCGCGCTCGAGGGGGTGAACGACACGAGGGGGTGAGCGGCGACGCGTCGCGCTCTGCCGGTCGTCGCGGTCGCTCGCGCTCGTCACGCGCCACAGCGTCACGCGACGCGTATGTCTCTCTCGACGATCGCGCGATGTGGACGTGCGAACACCCTTTCGAAGCCTTGGCGCGCGCTCGAGGTCGTCTTCGCGCGCGGCGCGTCGTCGAGCGCGTCCGTGTCGTCGACGAGCGACGAGCGTGCTGTTTCGACGTCGACGCCTCGACGCGCGCGCGTCGATCCGTCCACGCTTCCGAGAGCGACGAACGCGGGGGCGACGCACACGGCGGAGGAGTTGGAGCGCGCGAAGGCGGAAGCGGAGGCCCGAAACGCTGAGAAACGACGGGCGTTTCATCGCGCGCGAGGCGTGGACGTGGATGAAATCGGCGGCCCGCGAGGACTAGAGCCCACGCGGTACGGCGACTGGGAGAGGGCTGGTAGGGTTTCGGATTTTTAATTCGGACGCGACGCATCGGTAGTGTTCATCCGTCTCGATGCGCTCGATCGCTCGATCGCGGCGCATCGCTCGTCGAACGCGCGCGCGTCGCCTCGACCGTCGCCTCGACAGTTGAATAATCAGACAATTGGGCACATGGCTCCACTCGTCCGCGCGCGCGCCCAGAGACGGGCGACGCGCGACGGCGTTCGTTTCACACGACAACGCGCGAAACACGCGATGCGTCGCAGAGCGCTGCACCGCGCCGTTCGCGCGCGCGCTGTTCGTGCGAACGGCTCGTCGGTGCTGACTCGGCGTTCGATTCCCGCGTTCGGTGGTGGTATCGACACCGCGCGCGATCGAAAGCGTTCGTCCTCGTCGACGGCGGCGCGTGAAACCCTTGGGTTCGCCGCGCACGGTCTGCTCGGAGAGACCGCGGTGTTCGCGCCGCTGGATCTTCCGTCCACGGGGGGCAGTCGAACCGCCGGTATGGGGGGGGCGACGGGGCGGTTGAACTCGTACGCGATCGATGAGCTACCGACGCCTCGACAGATGGTGCGCGTCCTGGACGAGTACATCGTTGGCCAGGCGCACGCGAAGAAGGTGCTGTCTGTGGCGGTGTATAATCACTACAAACGCGTGGGGGCGGAGTCGGAGCAGCGCGCCAGGGAGGCGGCGGACTTGTCGGCGGTCGAGAGGGAACTTGAAAACGATCGAACAGAGTCTGCGAATTCGTTCGACGACGTAACGCTTGAAAAGTCAAACATCATCCTCTGTGGGCCCACCGGGAGCGGGAAGACGCTTTTGGCGAAAACTCTGGCGAAGTTTGCCAATGTGCCGTTCGCTATCGCGGACTCAACAACTCTCACGCAAGCCGGTTATGTTGGCGAGGACGTGGAGTCTATCTTGCACAAGCTGTTACAAAACGCAAATTTTGACGTGAATGCGGCACAGCGTGGCATCGTCTACATCGACGAAATCGATAAACTCGCCCGCAAGAGTGACACCGTGAGCGTCACCAGGGACGTCTCAGGAGAAGGAGTGCAGCAAGCGCTGCTGAAGATGGTCGAAGGGACGGTGGTGAACGTCCCCGAAAAGGGAGGTAGAAAAAACCCAAACTCTCAGTTCGTCCCGCTGGACACAGCAAACATTTTGTTTATATGTGGGGGTGCTTTCACTGGTCTTGAGAACGTCATTCAACAGCGGCAGTCCAAGAGCTCCATTGGGTTCGGTAAACCGGTGTCCGCTCGCGATGAGCCGAACAGCAAAGAAGCGATCGAAGCCGCCGCCAAGGCGATGCAGGAGGTAGAGACCGGTGATATCGTCTCTTACGGATTGATCCCCGAGTTTGTGGGTCGCTTCCCGGTGTGCGTGCCCCTGCAAGCTCTGGGTGAGAAGGAGCTGGTGGACATTCTCACGAAGCCCCGCGACGCGATTGGCAAGCAATTTCAACGTCTCATGGATATGCATGGCGTGGAACTACAGTACACCGATGATGCCCTCGCTCACATCGCGAGCGCGGCTGTCAAACGCGGAACTGGAGCGCGTGGTTTGAGGACTCTGCTCGAGCGGTTGCTCACCGACGCCATGTTTGAGGTACCTGATGATCCCATGATTTCTGAAGTCATAATCGACGGAGAAAGCGCCGAGGCGGGGTTGGCCAGACGCGGCGTCTCTGGCGCAAAGCTCGTTCGATCCAAGGCGCGCAAGGCGAGCGTAAAGAAGAGCGCTTCTGAACTTACGAATGCTGCGGAGGCTTAAAAAGCGAGAACACTTACAAAACTACTACCGGTACTTAGAAGTTGCCAATTCGAGGACTTGAGCTACATTTGAATCCTCGTACCGTCGGTAGGACATGTATTACATCACACACTTGTGACGATCACCGCCCCTCACGCTCGCCTGCGGCTTCCCGCGCTCCCGAGAGAACCAGACAGAGAATTAAGTGGAGAGTTGCAGCGATTCCTGTCTGATAGGTATCCGTAAATGAGTGGTATCACGAGCGTGAGCTTAATGAACAGATGATTGAATATTTGCCCCTCGACGATGCCCGCCGTGAACAGACCCAGGCTCAGTTCTTGCCAGAGCATCTGTACCAGCGCGACGGATTCGATGAATACGTGTAACAAGCAGTACTTTGCCTGCATCACCGTGGAAAGCGACGTCAACGCTGTTTGTACGCTCATAATGCACGTCGTGATGCCCACGAGCATCCAGTTCTGCATCGCCGCCTCCACACGAGTTCCTTTCTTCAGGTAGTAGAGTTGCACTGGATCGTCATGAAAGATGAATGTGCACGCGTACAACACGAGCATCGCCCAGCTCAAGAGAAGAACGTTGTGCGCGGAATTGTACAATCGTAGCATCGGCAATCGCCGCGCTGCTGGACTCGTCCCACTCAACGCCGTTCGATACAACATCCCAATCACCGCGCTCGCACCGAGCGCGATGTATCTGTACACAGACTTCAACTTTGCCGTCCCCGCGACGGATCGCCCCTCGAGCACGAGCAAACCGACCCGCACAAAGTTCATACCCTCCCCTCGCATCGCCCAACGCGCGTTCGCCGCCTCGTCCCCCACCCACATAATGAAAATAGTTTCCACGAACTCCCGAAGGTGTGTTAGCCCGATCCAAGACGATATCGAGAAGAATTCCATCTGCGGTTCGTCGCCCGCCAGGTCGAAGAGCTCGTCCGAGCGCCATCCTCCCAACCCCAACCCTATCGGCGAGAAACATCCCGCGAGCACCACAGCGAACGCCGCGTTCACCAACGACGCCCGTCGAATCGCCCGATCCCTCCCTCGCCCGCGCGAAGCGCCCGCGCGCCGCCCGCCGTCCTCGCGCCCGCGCGTCGGCCCCGACCCTTCCTTCGCGCTCGACGTCTCTCGCACCCGCGCGCGCGAGTCCGATCGCGCGGGCGCGCGCGCGCGCGATCGCATCGCCCGCGTCGTCGTCGGCATCGGGTGCGGTTCGCCCTGCGGTGACGCGCGGGCGCGGCGCGGCACCTCGCGCGCGGCCGCGGGGTCGAGGGCGGGGGGGGCGATATCTCGAGTCTCCGAGATTCTGGGTCATGACTCGACGACGCGGCGTGATGCGCATCGTCGGCGCCGCGCGGGTGTGTGCGATGCGCATCGTCGGCGCCGCGCGGGTGTGTGCGATGCGCGACCGGCGGCTGGCGCGCGCGCGCGCGCCGACGCATCGTCCGGCGCCCGCGAGCTCGCGCGCCCGGTGGCCCACGCGCCGGACGTCCTCGCCCGCGCGCGCGGCGCGTTCGGGCCACGGACGAGCGACGCGATCGGGTGCGCGGGAGGATGGTGCTCTACGACGCCTTGATCGTGGTCAGCGCGAAAGTCCCGCGAACGGCGTGCGCGGACGTGCTCAGAAGGCTCGGGACGTCGGTGATCGAACGGGGTGGTGTGGTGACGGACGTGACGTCGTTCGGGGCGCGGACGTTGGCGTATGAGTTTCGGAGACCGGGAGAGAGACACTTTGAGGTGCGCGCGCGCGCGAGGGCTTCGAGGGTCGAGAGACGCGCGCGCGCGACGATGACGTGACGGCGAACGGCGCGAGGAGAGACTGACGATGTGCGCGATGTGATGGTGGTTATCGTGACAGGCGCAATTTGTGAAGATGTCATTCAACGCGCCGCCCGATCTGGTGAAGGAAGCGGAGCACGCGCTGCGCGTCGACGAGCGCGTGTTGCGATGGATGTTCACAAAGAAACCCGCGTTGAGGCGGTTGAACGATTTTAAGGCGCGGGATTCGAGAAATCCGAACACGATGCCGGGCTACGACGCGCGCAGGTCGTCTTAAGAGGGATTTTGATCAGGTGCGTGACGACGCGAGGGACAGCGCGGCCCGAGGTGAAATCACGTGAACGCATCGCTTCGCCGATGATTTTGCGGATGACGATCAAACTGTTATCCCTGTCTTACGCACCAAGGCCGGTGTTAGTTTGATGATCAAGTTATTAGCTCTAACCGACGCAAAGTCGCTGAGCGATGACGTTCACGTGGGAACCGGCTCGCGCTCGAATCGGTTTTTCTTTATTTTTCAATCACGTTTTCATTTTCAACGCGGCGTATTCGAACGAGCTTGCCGATGAGGAACCAATCTTATCTTAGCGGATTTCTCTGATTCTTCGTGAGGAAACTCAAGACACTGTTACACATCACCAAGGCAACGTTGCTCGGCTCGAAGACGTGTCAGGAACAAACGTGAACGATGACAATTTACATTTTCGGATTCCCTCAGAGCATGAGCAGTGATCGAACATGTACCAACCTGACACGTTTTCCTGTCATGAACTTTTCGCCGACGGGACGATTGGAATTCTCCGAGGATGAAGACAGCAAGGGCGTTTCTCAAAGAAACCATTCGCAGTGCCCGAACTTAAGAGTTTTCGCTACCGATTCGTCGGATGCCTAGCTTGAGAACTTGTGCAGGCCCCTCCTTCCTTGGATGTCTGAGGAGTTTTCCATTCGTCTGTTTTTTCAGCCTCTTCTGATACACATCGTGTGCGCATTTCACGATGCCTCGCATACTGACGAATACTTTTTCTTCGCGACAGTGGCAAGACGCAACATTAGAACGCTTTTCGCTCTGTAACATAAAGAATAGGAATTAAAACGAATCGATATTCAGCGGCCTAGTTACCAATCGATCTTCGCGCCGGCGTAATCGTACAGGTTACCGGATTGTTCGAGCGTGGCGCCCCCGATGACTTCAAGCAACCGCTGCACCGAGTACTCGGGCGTGAACAGCTTGTCCGCGGGCACGTTCTTCTTGAAGGGCTCGGACAACTTGGTGTCGACAGTGCCAGGGTGCACGCACATCGCAATAATTGGATGCTTCTTACGAGAGAACTCGATCGAGCAATTCCTCGTGAGTTGGTTCAGAGCCGTCTTGGAACCGCGGTACGAGTGCCATCCGCCCAACGCGTTGTCGCCAATACTGCTCACGCGCGCCGACCAGTTCGCAATCACTGGCACGCCGCCGTTCCCACCCTCCTTCGAGTTTATCTCCGCCGTCTTGAGCATGATGGGTGAGAAGTGCTTCATCATCATCGTCGGTCCCACGGCGTTCACAGTGTACGCTCTCAACATGTGCTCCGCCTCCGTGCGGTTGATGGATGTCTCCGGTCGCATCTTCCCCTCCGTCAACACCGCGCTGACGTTAGCCATGAAATCCAACCGTCCAATTTCCTTCTCCACGATCTCCGCCGCCGCCTTCATAGACGCCTCATCCGCCGCGTCCACTCTCACCACGCGCACTCGTCCTCGGTGCTTCGCCGCGAGCGCGTTGAGCTCGCTCGCGTTCGCCGGGTCCCTACACGTCGCGACGACGACTCCGCCCGCGGCACGACCACCAAAGACCTCGGAATCGCGCTCGATGAGCTGACGCGCGAGCTCCAGGCCTTGGCCGCGCGCGGCGCCCTGAATCAAAGCGCAGAAGGGGGTCGTGACGTCGATTGATGTCCCAGTGGACATTCGAGCGACTGGTGCGGTGCCGACACGACGAGCGACGGTTCTGGAGGCGCTGACGCGAAACGATGATATCGCCCGACGGGCGAACGCGGCGGCGGACATGTCGAGCGAGATATCGACGCGTCGACGTGTGCCGAGGTGGGCGCCGCGCGAGGCGGTCTCCGCCGCGTCGCCGTCGCGCGAGAAAAATGGTGTACGATTCATAATACAGCTGCGCGACGCTCACGCGCTCGAGACCTCGCTCGGGGTCTTCGTCTTGAGCTGCAAAGCGTGGATCGGGTTATCCATCTCCTCGCTCAGCGCGTCGTAAATCATCCTGTGGCGCATCACCTGTCGCTTGCCCTCGAACGCGTCGCTCACGATTTCCACTCGAAAGTGCGTCTCCGCGCTCGGATCCCCTCTCGAGGGGTTCCCAACGTGCCCGGCGTGCATCGCGCTCTCATCGATGACGTTCAGAACCGTCGGGGCGAGCGCGCGCGTGAGCTTTTGCGTGATCGCGGTGTACACCGGGCGACCGACGTTCATCTTCGCGCCCGCGGTCTCTTGACACGCGCCGCCGTCGGGGCGGACTCTCGTGACGACGGAGGCGCCGCGGCTGACGCGGTTTCGTTCGGTGGCCGTGGGAGCGGTGACTTGAGCGGGGGCGAGCCGAGTGAACATTCGGCGAGCGAGAGGCTCGTTGTGCGGGACGGCGGCGCGAGCGAGCACACTCGGACGAGGCGAAGATCGAGAGAAGGCGAGAGAAGAGATTAAAACGTGCGTCGGTGCAGGTTTTCGTTACAATGAATGCCCTCGAGGTAAGTAATGCGGGGCGGAAGGACGTCACGCGCGCTCGGCCGTAACGCGCGGGCGCTCGCGTAGTCACAGCTTGGACGGAAGCGTTCAAGCCTTGGTATACATCTTCGCCAGATCGTCCAGAGAGTGGTCGAGGTGGCAGCAAAAGTCCGTGTCGACATTTTGCTTGCATTTCATCGCGTTCTGCATCACCAGGTGATGAATCTTGAGCGCGTCGACGTAATCTTCCGGAGACATCTCCGCCGCCTTGACGCGTTGGCACAAGCAGTACTCACCGATCATGGTGATGATCTTCGCGCAGTGCTCCTCCTGCGATAACAGTCAGTAAAATCCATCTCGCGTCAAGGAGCGTACCTTCGTCATCACCCATCGCGTCATTTGGTTAATCGCGAGCGGAGTGTTCGTCGCGGACAGCTCGTTGATCTGCGTCATCGCCTTGCGAATCGTCGCGCTCATCTCTCGCAGCTGCGCCACCATCGCCGGGTCATCAAAGATCCCACAAGGCACCTGACAGTGTCCACCGAGCACGCGCACGCGCGCGTGCACCGTCGAATCGCCCTCGACGACGTCGTCCGAGCGCAACACGCGTCCGCGCGCGTTCGTGACGTAATCAAACGTCTCGCCTCGAGCGCGAAGCGCCGCCGTCGCGTCGCCCACCGTGCGCGCGTCGCGCACGACCAACGTTCGTCCTCTCACTGCGTCATCCAGCGATCACGCGTCAGTCGCACGCGTCGCGCGCGTCGCCGACTCGAACGTCCCACCGCGTCATCATCGACTCTCACGCGTCTCCTTCCTCGCCCATCGTCCCCGCGTCCTCACTCGTCGCACCGACGACGTCCACGACGTCGCCCGCGATCCCCAACCCCTCGCGCGCGCGTCGAACGCACCGGTGCGAGCGAAGATTTGCATGTCGTCCAGTCCGGGGTGGTTCCGATGCGTCACGCTCTGACGCCGCTCGCTCGGTGGAATGCGTCTCCGTGCGCGCGCGCCGTCGACGCGCGCGCGCGCCGTGGGCTCGAGGGGTGATGCGTCGTCGTTCCGTCGCGTCGGGCGACCGAGCGCGCGCGAGGGGGGGCGGAGAGAGACCGAATCGTCATCGCGCGAGGGACGACTTCGCGAACTCGCGGGCGCGCCTCGGGACGGCGCGGACGAGCGCGCGAGCGCGGAGGCGTGGAGCATGGTCCGGGATCGAGCTCTGGGTGATCCGGGGATGACGACGCGGGCGTGGAACTTTGCGATTCGAGCGGCGGCGAGGGCGGAGACGGAGGCGGATGGCAAACGGAGAGCGCGAGAGGTGTGGGACGCGATGCGCCTGGAGACGCGACCGAGTGCGTACACGGTGAGTGAGCTGGCGAGAGCGTTGTGTCGACGACGAAGTGACGTGCGGGAAGCGATGGGGGTGATGCGAGAGGCGGTGTCGTCGGGAGGGACGATGAACTCGTTCGCGTTGGACGCGCTCATCACCGCGTGCGCGAGAGAGTTGAGAGAGGAGCGGGCGAAGGGGCGGTTGAAGGATGAGAAGAGGGACGCGGAGACGGTTGAGATCGTGATGGAGGTGTGGAAGAGTGGGCGGGGGTACCATAACGAGGTTTCGCTCGCGAACGCGATGCGGGTGTTTCGCTTGTGCGGTAGGGAAGATTTGGCCATGACGATTTTCAAAGAGAACGAAGTGAAGACCGTCGACGCGAGGCTATTGAAAATCGCGCTTCAGTGCTGCGCCGGAGTGGAGGGATTGGCGAGTGCGGAGAAAATGTATCGCGAGGCAACCGCAATCGGTGGCGACATCGTCGCTGAGACGGGACACGCGAACACGCTTCTGTACGCGGCCAAGGACGAGGGAGACCACGCGTTCGCGACCAAATTTTTCGACGACATGCTCGCCGGAGTCGAGCCGCCACCGGATGAGAGCTCGCTCTCGCTCGTCATTTTGGCGTGCGCAAAGGCGAAAGAACCGGACTTGGCGATGAAATATTTCGAACGCGGTGGAGACGCAGGCATCAAGTACACGGATTCAACAATAGACGCTTTGCTTAGAGCTTGCTCGAAGTCTGGGCGGATCATCGACGCGCTGAGTGTGTTCATGGACGCCATCGAGCAAGGTATCAAGGTCACAGAGCGCACGATAACGCTGCTCGTCGAATCCTACGAGCATGTGGCGTCGCAACCAGATCAGCTCGCACAGGCGCTCACATTTGCAGACATGGGCGCGTTTTTGAACATCGAGCCATCGGAACGCATGATCAAGGCGTTACTCCGTCTATGCGTCGCCGGGGATGACATCGATCGCGGGCGCTTGGAGTTACGAAAGGCTCTGGAGCGTGGTGTGCCCATGACGTGCACGAGCGTGACCATTATCGCAGAAGCTCTCGTCTCTCGTGGAAATGTGGAGGAAGCGCTTGATATCATTCGTTTCGGCCGTGAACGAGGCATTAAAATCAATCCAGGCGCGTTCATTCAAACGATTAGCGTGATCAAGGTGCGAAATGACGGCGCAGGCGCCCTCACGTTGTATAAAGCCGCGAGGGGCGAATTCGGCCTCAGTCCAAACGAGCGCATGCTTGAGGAACTCTTCGACGCGCTAGGCCGAGCGGGGATGTGGAAAGACGCCCTTCGTGTCCTCTCCGACGACGTTCTTGTTGACGACGGCGCGCTCAAGAGTTTCAGTGAACCCGCGGTCGCTCACCTCGTGCGCGCCCTCTGCGAGGCGGGCGAGTTCGAGCAAGCCGTCGCAGCGCTCGACATGGGCCGTCTCCTCACCGGCACCCCGAACGATCTCGCCTCTCGCCGACTCGAGCGCGCCAAGCAGCGCGCGAAGAAAGCACTCGCCGAGTAAATATTCGTGTAAAATGTATAACCGCCGTTTGAAATTTCCCGCTCGTTAGTCCTCGGCTCCGCCTCGGCTTTCTGAAATCCACCAAACGTGCAATCGTCACACTTCGGCCTCGCGCGCGCGCGTCATGTCCGACGGCCCGCCCGCCGAGGTCGCGCGTCCGGTCGATGTCACGCATCCCAACGACGCGAGCGCGGACGACGTCGGAGCCCCTGGCGACTGGCTCTTCGGACCCGACGCACCGCCGGCCAAGAAGAAGCGCAAAACGCTCGCCCACGAAGCCGTCTACCTGGACGCCCTCCCATCGGCGTCGATGTACGAGCGATCGTTCATGCACCGAGACGTGGTGACGCACGCCGTGTTCGCGCCCTCGCACGATTTCTTCGTCACGGCGTCGAGAGATGGACACATCAAGTTCTGGAAGAAGCGAAACCAGGGCGTCGAGTTCGTCAAACACTTCCGAGCGCACTCGAGCGAGATCGTGGGGTTGTGCGTGAGCGCGGACGGAAGCGCGTGCGCAACGATCGGGGAGGATAAGACGTGTAAGGTTTTTGACGTTGTGAACTTTGACATGGTGATGATGTTAAAGTTGAAGTTCAAGCCGAGCGCTTGCGAGTTCGTGTACAAACGCGGCGACGCAGTGCAGGCGATCGCGATCGGGGACGATAAGGGGGTAATTCGAGTGTACGACGCGTTATCGTCGAGTGTGGAGCCGGTGAAGACGCTGGAAAATTTGCACCGGTCGGCGATAACGGCGTTGCGTTACAACGCGGCAAAGCAATGCGTGATTTCAGCGGAGGAGAAGGGCATGTTGGAGTACTGGTCTTCCAGGCCCGAGGATGAGTTCGCCGCGCTCACGAGCTCGAATAACACCGGAGTGGATTTCAAGTATAAACTGGACACCGATCTCTTCGCGTTGGCGAAGGGGAAGACAACCGCATACACCATTGAGGTGAGTGCGGACGGCGAAAAGTTTAGCACGACAGGTGAGGACAGACATGTGCGCATTTTTCGTTGGAAGAACGGCAAGTTGATTAAGGACATAGATGAGACGCTGGCTTACGCGGAGGACATTCAGCGCAGCGGCAATGAAAAGTATGCACTAGAGGATATCGATTTCGGGCGCAGGCTCGCGGTCGAGCGAGAGATGTCCACGTCTCTCGAAAAGTGGGCTTGGCCCAACGCCCTTTTTGACGAGAGCGGGAACTTCTTGATCTACGCCACGCACTTAGGGATCAAGGTGGTGAACTTAGTAACGAACAGGTGTCCTCGAATCATCGGCAAAGTCGAGAACACTGAGCGATTTACTCGTCTGGCACTGTTTCAAGGAGTGCCGCAAAAAGACAAGCGCGCAAGAGGTTCTGGCAAGGATGTCAAAGTTGCAGAAAAGGATCCGACGATCGTCGCGTGCGCGTTCAACAAAGTACGCATGTACATTTTCTCTAGCCGTGAGCCGGAAGAAGGAGATGACGTCGCAACGGGTCGAGACGTCTTCAACGAAAAGCCGCGCGCGGAGGAAATGCTCGCTTCTTCATCTCTGCCGTCGGCGAGATCGGGTTTAGCGACGAGTGCCGTGATTCACACGACGCTTGGTGACATTCATGTTGACTTTTTCACTAACGAGTGCCCCAAGACCTGCGAAAACTTCAGTACGCATGCTAGAAACGGTTACTATGATGGCATCGTCTTCCATCGCGTTATCAAGAACTTCATGATTCAGACTGGTGATCCTCTTGGAGACGGCACCGGTGGGCATTCGATTTGGGGTGGGGAATTTGAGGATGAGATCGTGCGCGACCTGAAACACGATCGGCCTTTCACGGTGTCGATGGCGAACGCTGGACCGAACACGAATGGCTCACAATTTTTCATCACCACGGTGGCAACACCGTGGCTCGATGGAAAGCACACCGTTTTCGGTCGCGTGACGAGAGGTTCGGACGTCGTCAAAGCCATTGAATGTGCCAAGTGCGACAAGGGTGATAGACCGTTGGAGACAATTTCCATGCTGAGCATTACGTTGAAATACAACTAGAGACGCTGTCTATGACTTTTGCAATTCTTCGTAAACATTTCGCGCGAAGCCCTTTGCGACATTGAAGCCTCGAGAAGCTACCTCTCTGACCTTATGTAGATCATCCTTCGCGGCAATTTTCATCTTTTGCATCAAACTAGACGTCGAAAGGTTGACATCTTCTTCCCCGTAGGAGGGATCGTACGACGACGCCGAGCTCGTTGAGTTCCCTTGGTTGCCACCGGAGTACCTGCCAACGGCCGAGTGTTGCGCGTGCGCGCCCTGAATGTTGTGCAATCCGTATCGAGGGTCGGGATTACTGTAGTAGTTGGGCTTGTACGTTCCACTCGGACTGCTTGATTTTGCCTCAGAAGATACGCTTGACGTGAACTTTGGTTTGAGGAGCATGACGTGACCGTCCGCGGATCGACCGATGTTCGTCGCCTTCTTCACCTCTGGCTGCAGGAGTGCCGGTTGCGCTGGAGCTGATTGTGGTGCCCAGATCGGCGACGGTTCATCTCTCGCGACCGGCGACTTGGCTTCCTCAACGGTTTCCACGGCGTCGTGAAACTCCGGCCCTTCCGCAGGAGGCGCAACTACTGGCGTCTTTGGCATCATGCCCTGGGGAGTTAGAACGGTCTTCGTCTTCGGCAGACTCATCATCGGACGCTTTGCGAAGATCGAACTGCGGGGTTTCGATAAAATCGGCTTCTTGACCTCGATCGTCTGTCGCTGCATCGTCTCCGCCTTCGCAGGCACCTGAGTGGCTGCGGACTTTGGTACCTCGACTGCCTTCTTCGTTGCCGCCTCCCTTTCCGTCAATTTGAAGAAGTCATCATCCTCCTGCATGTTCCCAGCTCGAGGCGACGTCATCGTCGTCGCCATCTCTCCCGCTGCTCGAAGCTCCTCCACCTCCTTCTGAATCTGCTTCAGGTACAGCATCGCCGCGCGAGAAGTGTACTTCTGCCCAATCCGCCCTCGCTCCGCCGCGCTCCAACCGTGTTTCGAAAAGAACGCCCGCGCCTTGTCGTTCCCTTTCGTCACTCTGAACACGTCCAGCTCACCGTCCGTCCACCGATCCATGTTCGCGCTCTTCACCGCCGTCACGTGCACGCCGAGCGACCGGTGCACGCCGCTGCAATCCAAGCACACGAAAACCCCAAAATTCTTACTCGTCCACTTCGGACACGGCGACCCACAGTCGAAGCACACTCGATTCCCACCTTTACGCAGAAGCGCGGTGAACAGGGCGTCGCGCGCCGCGTTATCGATCGCTTTTTCGTCACGAATACTCATGACGACAGTCTTTCGTTTCCGTCGAAGATCGCCCTTAGTCCCTCGCGCGTGCACCTCTCAGCGCTCTCTTCGATCCGTCTGAGCCCGTGACGGTCCGTCGTCGACGTCTCTACCCGATCGTCCTCGCGGCACGACCCCGCGCGTCGGTGTGAACGCCTTCGACGCGCCCGAGGAGACCTCCGGAAGAAACGAAAAAATGACACGGCTTCTTCACAAGCGAGGAAATTTGAAAAACAACGACAGTCCAGAGGCGTCGTCTTCACTCCGCGCGCGCGCGAGGATGACGTCGAGCGCGATCGATCGATGCGTCGCGCTCGGGAAAGATCTTGACAAAGTCGCGAGGGCGAAGACGAAGGGGGCGAGCGCGAACCGGAACGGGGACGCGGGGAAGATTCTGGAGGTGCGTTCGGAGTTTTTTGGTCGTTCGGATTTCTCGCGCGCATCTGACGCCTTGAGCGCGACGCGCGGGTTGAGCGAAGACGCGGTGACTTTGAGGAGTGATTGACGATGACGGGTGACGATGCATCGCGCGCGCGAACGCAGGCGCTCGCGGATGCGCTCAGTAAGGTGGATCAAGGCGGCGACGGCGCGAAGGCGCTGCTAGATACGACCAAGGCGCTCACGACTCGGTTCGTGATGACGCACGAGAGTAAGCGGGTGCGCGTGCTCACAGCGCTATGCGTTTCAGATATCATGCGCGTGTGCGCGCCAGACGCGCCTATCGAGGGAGACGAGGCGATGCGGGACGTGTACGAATTGTTTCTGGATGCGCTGGGAAGTTTGAAATCCATTGAGAGCGAAGAATTCGAGTCAGCCAAGAGTCTGTTGATGAACATCGCGAACATCGGCCTGTGCGTTCCGATGTTGGATCTAGAGTGCGACGGCGCGGATACCCTGGTGCGGGACCTGTTCAGAGTGTTGTTGGACGCGGTGAACGCGTCAAACTCGACGACGGTGACGGAGGAAATCTCAAAGGTTTTGACGACGATGATCGAGGAGAGTTGCGACGAGGATACGCCAGTGCCGGCAGACATTGTCTTCGAGGTGCTCTCGCGCTTGATCGATCCTGTTCGAACGGAGAACCCGGCGTCGTACAGGTTAGCGGTGGAGCTTGTTCGAAAGTGCGAGCACCAGCTGCACACGCCAATCCAAAATTTTTTGACAGAGGCCATGCACGGGAGCGTTGACGAGGACAGTGCACTGGCTCCGCTGAGTAAGCGACACGTCGATGTTATCGAGGAAATCGCAGTGTGCGATCCTACGGCGCTCGTCACCGTGTGGCCGTCCGTCACTGATGACTTGCAAGCGGATGACTTGAGCGTGCGCCTGCGCGCGGTGAAACTCTTCGGTCGAGTATTCGCCTTTGCGGAATCTAGAACGGCTGAAGATTATCCACATCTTTTGCTCGAGTTCGCTCGAAGATTCAACGACAAGGCGGTTGAGGTTCGTCTCGAGATGGTGAAATGGAGCCCGAAGTTCTTGAAGTCACGCGTTGATCCGCATGCTGAGCTCACGTCTGTTCCCGCCGCCACCATCGTCAAGCAACTGCGAGAGCGCCTGCATGATTTTGACGAGAGCGTTCGATCAACGACGGTGAGCGTGCTCTGCGATTTGTTGGACGCGCCGACGTCGACAGATCTGTTCCCTCTCGAGTTCCTGCTCGAAATAGGCGAACGCATCAAGGACAAGAAATCGAGCGTGCGGAAGGTCACGTTGAAGCGCTTGTGCATCTCTTACCGTGCGTACGCGCAGCGTTGCTCGGATGATGCGCCTGCTTGGGAGACCAAGCGTTTCGACTGGATCCCGTGTGCCCTTCTTCGCGCCATCACTATTCCAGACGTACGTCTGCATGCGGTGGAACCGGTACTGGCGTCAATGTTTCCTGCGAAGATGTCCGCAGATGTGCGAAGCACGTTCTGGTTGCGGGCACTGAATCTCGCTGATGCATTCACAATTCGATGCTTGAAGCACTTGCTGCTCGCCAAGGCGCAAATGCAGGCCGATATGCGGGAGTATATGATGATTCGTTCGAAACTCAGCGGTATGAACAAGAAGGATGGGGAAGCGGCGCTGGCAAAGATTTTTGACGCCATAAAAGTGCACTTTTCTGATCAACACAAGGCGAAAGATGCTATGATGTCGCTGCACGCGCAGAAAGATGGAAATATTTTCAGATGCATTCAAACGATTTTGAACCCGGAGACGGCCTTTGCGGACGCGGTGAAAGCTGAAGAAGACGCTATCAAGCGAGCGAAATCGAGCTCTCAAGGCGTTGATTTGGACTTCATCAAGGCTCTTTTGCTTAAGAACCAATCTGCGCCGTTCGGACGAGAGCATGTCCGCGGTACGCTAAAGGCTGCGTGTAAAGCCACTCGATCGACGCAATCGTCCAAAACGTCCACTGCGCCGCAAGCTGTGATCGTCGCTCTCGAGCACTTGTGCGTTCTTGCCGAAACTTTTCCAAAACTTTTCTCGGGCTGCGGCGATGAGGTGGATGAGTTACTTGACGCTAAAGATAAACAAACGGTCACCTTGACGTGTAGAATTGCTTCAGAAGCGGCGAGTGCACTGAAGTTGACGCCGCGTCGTGGATCGATCTGGCAAAAGCTCAAGGCAAAGTGTTCTCGAGGCGATCACGAACAGGCTAAGCTGGCGATCAAGGCTCTCGGGCTCTTACAAAAGGGACTCGATGAGCAGATCGATTCGACCGATGCTCTCGCTGGCGCCACAGCTGGACAACTTGCCGAGGTGTACTTTGATATGGTCGAGATGCTCGCGGAGGACCTGGTTTCTGATCAAGATTTGCCGGCGGTGCTGGGTGCGGTTGGTACTATTGGTCGCTTCCACCAGCAAACATTCATGTTACAACTCGCTGAGGTCGAACAGTACATCACACACACACTTTTGATGCGACCACCGACGAAAGGACGAGTTGCCGTCGGTGTCGTGAGTGATCTGGCGCATCTACAAGCTTACGGTTTGAAGGCTCTCACCAAAGCTGCCGCGCATCGCACGGCCGCAGACACCGTCGAATCGTCGTTTACGACGCGAGTCATCGAGTTGCTCCACAGCTACGCCGAACCGAAATCATACGTTGAAGCGGGGATCTTCGAAGATTATGTCAGCGCGGATGCGATGCACCTACGGTTTACGGCGTGCAAGGCGATGCAGATCATCTCTCGCTACGCTGCGATCGGCTTAGTTAAGCCAGACGCGTGGGTGTGCGTGTCCATGTTCTTGCATGATTGCGAATCGGCGACAATGCGTTATGAAATGATCTCCGAGCTTAAGGCTGGCCTCGTCGTTAGACCGAACGAACGCATGCTACCGATGATGTGGGCTGCTACTCTCGCTCTCGCTCTTGTGGACAAAGACAAGAGTGTCCGCGATTTGGCGAACGATTCGTTCGCTAGTTGGGTTGCCACACAACGTCAGCGCTCTGCAGCAGTGGCTGAGCAAGCAGCCACAAATAAGTCGAAGGACGGCTCAAAGTTCTTGTTGGTGCACATGCCCGAGTACGTGCTCGTGTACATGGTATTCCTTCTTACACGTCACCCGCTCGCGCCGAAAACCGCTGAAGAAGGCATGGAAGAACGTGGTCAGAGGTGGCGTCAAGTCCAGTTAATCGTCTCCGCAGCCGTCTCTATCCTCACGAATGGTACGAATGGTGATGCTATTCCTGTCACGTGCAAGATGCTTCGACGTTTGAAGACGACGCTAGACAAGGTTAACCCTGGCAACTCGGAACTGATGTATTCGTTGAGCGACTTGGTCCTTTTCATCGTGGTGGACCTCGCGGGAGCCAAGGGGTGGGATGCCAGCAAGTTTCCAGGTCACGTGGTCTATCCGACTCAATTGTTTAAGACGACGCCGTTCATGGCGAGTGGTCCGCCCGCGAAAGAGGGAGCACAACCTGGACTTGGCGACTACTCGCATTTGCCTCGTGGCTACGTCATCGTGCGTTCTGTGCCCATCGCCTCGACATCGAACAAAGCGGATCCAAAGCAAGCGCAGAAGCGCCCGCGGCCGAAGAGCACCAAATCAACGGCAATGGGTGGAAAAGGTAAGCCGCTCAAGCAGACCAAGCTGTCTTTCACTGCGGGCACTCGAGCGATGCCGGAACGAGGGGCTCGTCGAGAGCCCATTGTGGACGTGGTAGATGGAGACATCGAGAACGAGTTCGACGAAGAAGATGAGAGCGAAGACGATTACGAACACGTCGACACAAACACAGCGCTCGTCGTGGTTTCGTCTCCTCCCACTTCTCCCGGACCTTTGTCGGAAAATATGACGGCGAGTACTCCCGCTAGAAATCGAAGAGTTGACAAGGCGACGAGGGGCGACGTGCAGATGACAGCCGCCGTGGATGTCGACATAGATCCGGAGGAGAAGCGTTCTAGACGGCGTCGACGTTGAAAGGAAACTGTATCGCTTAGCAAAATGTACCGTATAACGAATAGAAACGAGAGTAGAACAAGTTTTTGATACACACACACAGCAATCAATTTATTACAACTCTTCGATGCCGTATCCTGCATACCCGATGCTGTGCGCGTTCTTGAGATAATACTCCATCACAAGCGCAAAGACGCCGAGACAGGTAAAGAGGGCGCCCACGAGCAAGTAAAGCGCCGGTAAGACAACGTTTGATCCCCCAACCCAACTATTGGTAGCGAAGACGATGTGCTTCTCGCCGTTGAACTTATACGTGTTGTAGAGATTATTGATGTCAACCGTTATCGTCGTCCCCTCCTGGATATCGACTTCGATCTTTCCGAGGAGTTTACGGAAGTTGCTAAACGCAGCCGTGCGCATCCACGTCACGAAATGTTCGTCACCGCGAACCGAGTTCCCCGAAATTTGCGCGCCCCCTCGTGTGGCCTGCTCCGTATTCATATTCTCCGGCGCGTAGTCTCCAAACCTGTAATTTACATCCGCACTCCACGCAATGTTGTTATCGTCGATTGCCACAGTCGTGCCATCGAGTTTCACAGTATAAGTGTCGTTAAAGTAGCTCCACGCCTGCACGCCGCATGGCACGATGTCAGCCCCCGTCGCGTTCTTGATGTTCGTCGTGCACAATCCCTGGCTCGCGCTCGCGCCTTCGGAGAGCTGAAAATAATCCAAATCCCGCACATACGCCCGATGATTTTGATAAAAGTTACCCAATTCGTAGTACACGTACACGGGCGCTTTCAATTTCTCCGTCGCCGTCAGCGTCACCGAGCAGGTCGTCCCCGCGCCGTTAATCGATATCTTCGACTGCTCCTCCGCCGCGGTCGGGAAAAACCCATTCGAGCACGCGGTGACGTCATCGTATCGGTACCCGAGCGTCTGCAGATCCTTTACCCCGTGCCACACCGCCCCACCGACCGCCATGAATGGGATCGCCAGCGCGAACGAAATCTTCGCCGTGTGCACCGGTGACAGCGCCGGTCGACGCCCCGAGATCTGCTGTTGCGAGAACGTCGAGTACGCGGGCTTTTTCGACCCCATCTCTCGCGCGCGACGGCGAGACCGCGCGTCGTCGTGTGTTCGACACGCGGTTCGCGATCGCGCGCGCAACGACCGGAAAAAAGGTCCGCGTGTGACTGACCCGATTCGGTCTCAGCGGGAGAATTCAGTCGCTCGGTCGCGCCGCAGCGCGCGGCGCTCGGCGAGCGCGATGAGCGAGCACAAGAAGCTCATGCGCATGACCGCGCGCGCGTTCTACGCCACGTCGTACGCGAAAGAGCGCCTGAACGCGCAAACGAGCGTCGACGCGCGTGCGGGGGCGAACGTCAAGAATGTGAACGTCGACGGCGTTGGGGCGACGCCGAGCGCGACCAAGGCGCCGGTGGTGGATAAGAAGACCAAGCTGGATGACCCGCGCGTCGTCGAGGTGGTCGTGGACGCGCTGACGCGACGGACGTGGGTGCGAGAGGACGATTTAGCGAGCGATCTGAAGCTGAGTTACAAGCAGACGAGAAAGCTGCTGACGTACTTGGAGCGGGAGAAGATTGTGAACCGAGCGCACGTGCGAGAGAAGGATCGATTACGAGCGCAGGCGCTGGCGGAGCGGGGGATCACGGACGCGCCGGAAGTGAAGCGGACGGTGAGCTGGTGCTCGTTGAACTATGGACGCGCGCTCGACGTGACGAGGTACAGGCTGCATATGATGAAGAAGCAGGCTCGGCAGGCGGTGGATAAGGGAAAAGTGTACGAAGTGTACGTGTGCGTCGGTCCGAGGGAGTTCTGTGGGAAAATGTACTCGAGCCTGGACGCGGCGGCGCTCTTGGATCCAACTGAGTTGATTTTTAAGTGCTCCAATTGCGGGTGCGAGGTGAAGCAGGCGGGGAAGGACGGCGCTCCCGAGCCCGAAGGCGTGGCCAGAGAAACAAAAGAGGTTCTGCAAAAACGTTACAATGAGCTTGAGCGACAATTCAAACCGCTCGAGGCCCAGTTGGCCAAGGCCATGAAGACGCCAGCGCCGTTGTACGGAACACTCACGGAGTGGGCAGTGGCTAGAAAGCGGTACGCGCAGAATAAGGGTGGCGGCGGCGGTGGCAGTGGCGCGGGAAAGCGCGGCGGCGCGGCGCTCGACGTGCACTTGGAGGAGACGAAGTTCGTTGTTGAGCTCGGCTCCACAGCGGAGGAGCAGCAAAAACAGGCGGAGCTCGATGCCATCAAAGTGCAACCAGAGTGGGTGACGCGAAACACATTCGAGAAAGAGGACGCGGCGCACGAAAACGCGGGTGAAAAGCAAGGTAACGGTGAGCACGCAACACCCAGCGCTGCGTCAGAGATGCAAGAGCAGTATTTGAAAGCTCTCCTATCGGCGCTGCAAAAGCAACAAGAGCCTAAACTGGAAGAGGCTGCCACGGAAGTCGCTCAGGAGGTCGTTGCTGCCGTGGACGATCTGTTCGATGAGTGGGAAGACGTTGCGTGAACATGTCTCGTAGATTTATAGCTAAGGTGTAATACAACGCCACATTTGAGTAAGCGATTCACTTGTAAAATCTGCGCAGCGCTTTCGAGACGCCGTCTGGCGCGTGCGGCGCGGTCGACGCCGCGCCGGCGGTTTCCCCGGGAGCTGCAACGCCACCGCGTTTCTCCGTGATTCCAGCCTCGCGCAAACGCTTGGCTTCCATCTTCGCCAATTTTTTGTCGTCGATAACGTTGAGCTGTTTTTTTCTGTATCGCTTTGACGTTCTGTTCTTGCCCTTCATCTTTGTCTTGGCCTCATTCTTGTCACGTTGATCCTTTCTCCTCGAGAGCTCGGCATCGATGGCTAGCTGACGACGCTCCGCTTGGACCTCCTTCGGTACCGCTCGGAGCTTGCCTACGGCGTCCGGATCGAGCTGTATGGTCTCCGCCGGGAGTTTATCCAACAAGCGCGCGACTTCGTTCTCTCGTCGCTGTCCCTTCGACTCGAACGGGTTCGCCACAAACGTGTCGAAGTTGGGTTCGCCGGCGCCAGGGACGAGAACGCTCGTGAATCCACGAGAGTGTCCGACGCCAAGAACATCGTCGTAGGGGCAGAAGGCGATCGAGTTAATCTTCTGACCGTGTGAGAACTGATGCTTCATGTATGGTGAGTTTTGCTTTATCTGCAAAGCATCCTTCCAAATCTGCACCGTGCTCCCCCAGCCGACCGCAAGGAGTCCACGCTGAGAAATTTGAATATGACTCGACGGTTGTGCCGAGTAGTACGCGTGCACGGGCATATACGTGCGCAAGTCCCAAACCTTGACCTGACCGTCTTGACCGGACGTAACCATGTACTTACCACTCTTATCGATCGTCACTCCTTTCACCTCTCCGCGATGACACAGCATCTTCACCAATGGCGTTCCCTGGTTCGGGCTCCACAGCGTCACGGTGCCGTTTTTGTGTCCACAGTGCACGACACCGTTGTAATTGTTATGCGTCATGGCGTTGCTCGCGCCCATTTTGGTGCGGTACTGCGCGACGATTTTACCGTACGTTGTATCCTGCCAACGCAAAATACCTTGCGTCCCGACGGAACACAACAAAAAGTGTTGCGGTAGGAATGTGAGCTTATTCACGTGCATGTGATCGTCCAAACAGTGCACCTCCAGCCCGCGCTTGTCGTATATGTATGTGTATCTGTCTTGGGCCGCTGCGTAAAACTGTTCGTTGTGCAAAAACTTCACATCCTTCACCGTCTCCCTTGCGTCTGTCTCGCTAATCAAGTGATGCTTTTGCCACTGCATCATACTCAGCGCACCCTCGCTCGACCCTAACAAAAGTTCTCTTCCGTTCCGCGAGTAGTCGACGTAATACCTCCCCGTCCCCGGCACGTCCAAATCGAACGCCTTCTTCGCCGCGTTCACGTCCACCGCCCGGACGATGTCCCTCTGTTGATACTGATACGTCCGTTCTCCCTCCTCTGCCTCCAGAGTCCCGACTTCGTCGTTCGCAAACCATCGCTCGTGCGCCGCCGCCTTGAGCGCCGCCTCCTCCGCCAAGTTTTGATTCTCCCTCAGCGCCGCCTTTACCTTTTTATCCCCCGCGAGCCGGCTCGACACGCGCTCACCCACCACGTACTTCTTCGCCCGCTCCCGGAGATCTCTCTCGATCGATTTCGCCGTCGCCGTCGCTTCGTTCGCCCGTTTTCGCCGCTTCCCGCCGCCGCCGCCTCCACCCTCGCCGTCGTCCGCGTCCGTCGCGCGCGGGGCGTCCAGCGCGCGCGTTCGCGCGTCCAGCGTCTCGAGCGCGGCATCGAGCGCGTCCGCGCGCGCCATGTCGAGCGCGCGTCCCGCGGTGGCGCTCGAGCGCGCGCGCGTGGGTGACCGAGACGAAAAAAAAACAAGCGCTCGACGCCGCGGTCGACGCGATCGCGGTGCCGCGGACGCCGACGCGCGTCGCTCGACCGCGCGCGCGATGTCGAACGGCGAACAGAACCCGGAGGCGGTGATGCATCAGGTCAAGGCGGAGCTCGCGAACGCGTACGCGCAGGAGTTCTTCACCACGGTGCGAGATAAATGCTTCGCCAAGTGCGTGACGAAACCGAGCGGGAGCATGTCGAGCGGAGAGAGCGCGTGTTTGGAGAAGTGCGTCGATCGGTACGTCGAGGCGACGAAGATGATCTCGCACGTGGTGCTGCAGGCGTACCAGAGGGGGGGGCAGTGAGATTGGGGGGATTCGCGGGCGTCGCGCGGCGGATGAGGGGCGTTTGTAGTGAAAGAATCAATCGTATTGCATAAAATGGACGCGATGTTGCGCGTCATGACGTAATAAGCGTGCTAAACGTATGGTAATATACTAATATGTCACCTTTTGAGCGATGCGGTGGCGGCGGCGGCGGCGGCGGCGGCGGCGGCGGCGGCGGCGGCGGCGGCGGCGCCGTTACGAACGGAACCCGAACGCGAACCACCACCCCCAGAGTCGCTCCAATCCTCCCAAAACCAAGCGCTTCCGCCTCTTACGGTGAGATCGGACGGCTCAATAGGCGTCTTTTCGGTCGCGGAGAGATTGTAAGAGCTGAGACCTCTGGACATCATGGCGCGAACCATCCCTGAGTGGGCGTCGCCTTGCACCATCTCGCGGTTGTCGTCCACCGCGCTGAGTTCTTGCGTGTCCAGATTTGCGCCTCCTTCTTCGATCCCCGCCACCTTTCGCGCCTTTGCGAACTTCTCGATCGCGTTGAACACGTGTTTGTGACGCTCGTGTAGAGTGTCTAGCTGCTCGAGAATCTCCAGGTCAATCCACAAATCGGAGGCGTCCATGCCGGTGAGGTGCCGAGCGAGAACGAGCTGAGCCGAAGATTCCAAGGCGCCAGCTACGCGCGCAGACTCTTCGAGCGTTATCGCTGAGCACCACTCGGCGTGGCGCACGCCATCACTCGAATTACGAGCGTCCTGTCCCTCTCCGGATCGGCTCTTGGACTTTCTGACGCAATCGATGATGTCTCGAATCTCTTGCGGAGACGCCACGATGGACAACATGTCTGTGACGTGCTTTTGATACGCGACACGCTGGTTTTCGGCGACGATCGTGTCGATGATGGCGAGCGGCTGTGCCGTACCGACCACGTCACCACGCTCGACATTCAAGTCCAACTGCCAATGGTTGCCTTCGTGCCGGGAAATGTCTTCCTCCTCTTGGTTTCCTTTGCCACTGCGCGATAATGCATCATGCGCCGCGCCGTTGTACGATCGTACAGCGTCGCTGAAGTTGTGCGGGATCGCCAAGCGTCGCGCCGGACGAGACTTCATAGGGCTTGAGATGATACTATTACTCGAGAACGAAGTACCCAGCCACTCGTTTGCGGCTCTGAGGATGCTCCCGCAGCTCGGACGCCTCGTCTGATCCATGATGAGGCACGCCTGGATCAACTTCTTAAAATGCTTCGGGACGCTTTCCGGGAATTTAGGCGTGGCTCCCGAGTGCAGTTCGCGCCACTGCTGCTCAACGGCGAGTCCATTGGGGAAACCTTTGATCAACACCAAAAGAATGACACCTAGTGACCACACGTCACACTTCTTTGTGTACTTTTGACGTCTGAGACACTCAGGAGCGCTGAAAAATTTCGTCCCCACATGACCCTTCAGCGTCTCGTGTGCCATGCAGAACGTCGCGCTGCCGAAATCTATTAACTTGATAATGGGGATGCTTCCCGGCTGTTTCGACCAAGGCTTGACCAGCATGATATTATCGGGTTTCAAGTCTCTGTGCGCCACTCCCAGCGAGTGCATGAAGGACACGGCTCCGAGCAACTCGTTGGCGATGACGCACCAATCGCCCTCGTCGAAAAGGCCACGTTGTTCGATTCCCTCTAAAAGTGTGCCCCCCGTGTACAAGTCAGTGACAATGTGAGTGACTTCGCTCTTCAGCGCGTGGCTGTCTTCGTACACCATGAGTTTCTCCGGAAAGCTTGGATGATGTCCACACAAGACCTGCAATACGTCACACTCGTCCTGAATGAGCGCTGCGTCGACGCGGGAGCGTAGAATAGATTTGATCGCGACGGTTTCGCCCGTTTTACGACTCTTCCCTTTCCTTACCGATCCATAGACACCGCGGCCGATGAGATCTTCCACGTCGAAATCATCGTAAAGTTTCTTTGCAGAGAAGTCTCCAAAATTCCTGCCGGCATGTACCGTGACATCAATATCGTCCGAAAACTCTGATTCAGCGCTCTCGATCTCCAAAGTCTGCTCACGAGTCAAGGGTACGCGCTTTTTCATCCACTTGGTCACGATCTCGACGTCTTCGAGAGACTGTTGCGCCTCAGCCATCAAAGCCTCCAATGTATTGTACGAAGGAATGTCAACCACGATGCACGTAATATCGTCGTGCTTTCCGCGAGTTCTCATCACCTTATCGACTATTCCTCGCGCGCATGTGTCTGGGCCCATGAACTGAAAACATTCCTGCGCGATTTCACTGTCCTTCAGCGCGGAAAATACCCCGTCAGATGCTACCAGCAGACGGCAGCCCACCACGGGGACGCGGACGCGCGTAAACTCTGGCTCGCAAATGATTCCAGGTGAGTCAAAATCACCGAAAGCGCGTGATATCGCGTATCCACCAGGGTACACACGAAGCGGGCCAAGTTCCTGTCCGTCATCTCCCCGCAATCGCGCGAGCCTACACTCTGAACTTATCAAACGTCTCGCCTCGAACGGATCGTCCGGGTTGTGTTCCCTTGACAGCCGGACGTGTAACGATCGATCGTCTGCGCTGATAGAATCGAACTCCGCTGGATGTGGGAGCATCAGCGCCCCAGAATCACCCACGTTCGCGCACACTAGATCAAGAGCAAACTTCCGTCCATCGCCCGGAGGTGACGGCACGCACTGCACCGCCACCACGTTAACCGTCGACCCCCCCTCCGGCGTGTTCCCATTACAAAAAAAACACCCAACGTTATTACTCGTTCCGTACTCACTCTCCATGCGTTGCAACACCCGCTGAAACGCGCTCTCTATGCCATCGTCCCCGCTACCCGCGCCCGCGCCTCTCGCCGCGAGCACGCGCGCCTCGTGCTCGACGTTCCGCGTCCAATGCTTCTCCAAGTACTCCATCGCCGTCGCGTCCTTGTGCCCGTCGAACACGCAATACATCGCAAGGAGCGAGCCGATTCGTCCGTTCGGCGATTTCGCGTGCCAATCGCTCGCGTAGAGCGACGGGAGGATGCAGATTCCATCCTGTGACTTCTTGTGTTCGCACGCGATGTCGTACGGTGCGAACGGTCTCGCGCGCGCGGGCGCGCCGGCCACCGCGGCGTTCACGGGCGCCATTATTTCTCGCGGGGTCGTCCCGCGCCCACCGCGCGCGCGGCGTGCGCTCGCGCCGAGCGTCGCGCGAGCGACCTTTCGACTGTCGACCGAACCGATGGCGATATACCCAATTTGTAAAATCTCGGACACATGCGTCGTACTGTGTACATTCTGTTACAGTCTATCGAGATTCAGGGTGCGTCCCTGAAGTGCCATGTCAGCCCGCGCCGTGTCAGCGAGCCGCCGCGTCGGCGGTCCAGAGCGGTAATCCGGTGGGCGAGCGCTCTCGTAAGTGCTCGACGCAGGCGCGATCGAGAAGAGCGAACGCGTGACCGCATGGAAAGGTTTGACGGAGGCACACGGAGGCGCGACCGCGGGCGAAGACGTCGACGTCGCCGGAGGGAGAGTCGTCCGCGACGACGACGCCTCGAGAGAGGACAAACTCGGATGGGAGCGCGATGTCTTCGGCGTCGACGTCGGTGGCGATATTTGTGATGGCGCATCTATCGGCGATGACGCGCTCCGTGGCGAGCTGACGTACGAATCTTGCGTTTGATTCGTCGGCTCGCGTCGGCGAAGACGACGATAAGTTTTGCATCGGAAGCGTTCGACCGAACGGGTCTCTCACTGTCGTCTGAGCTCCTCCGTCGCCGCGCGCTGACACTTGCTGTTGACGCCAAAACACGCCGGGTCGAGTCGAGGCGAAAAGCTTACCCGAATTCTCCCAGGATGGCGGCGTACAGAGAGTCACGAAGACGTCTGCTTCGCGAAACGCGTCTCGGAGCGCCTCGCGATACCAATTGGGGGTCTCCTCAGCGCTCGAGGAGGTGCTGCGAGCGTGCGGCGTGGTACCAAGTCCTCCGAGAGACCAACAATCTGCTGCCGCGAAATCTTCAACGTCCGATAACACCTGCTCAGCGAGATCGTCATCTAACGCGAGCTGCGTTGTCCCGAGCGCTGCCCATCGAGAGCGCGTTGGAAACGGAAAGTGCGACCGCGGTGAATTCTGCGGAGTAAAGTCGCCGGGTAACACATTCGACACTAACTCGCTGACCAAACTATTGAGCGATTCGCACCTCATCTCGTCATCTGCGCCCTCGCGCTTTCCACTCCCTCTCGGCGCCGAAAAGAGCACCACTGGAGCGCCGCACACCGCCACCCTTCTCGCCGCTCGCATCGCCGCCTTCGTCTCACCATCCTCGCCCAGACACGCTTCTCGCGTCGCCACAATCGCTAACCCTATCCGAGCGCCCAGTTTGGCCAACAAACCTTCCGTGGGATCTGCCGCGCACGTCGCCGCGTCCTCGCCGCTCGCAACCAGCGCGTACGCATCCGGCCCCCGGCGCTCTACCCGAACAGTCTCGCGCGATTCCGTCGAGCTTTCGGTGATAACAATGATAACGCGAGCGTCAGCCGAAGTCTTCACCGCTCGTGCGCAAGAGTGAGCGAGGGACTCGTCGTCGGATAAAACGAGAAAAGATGACGACGTAGACGCTCGAGCGACGTTTCGTATCGCCCGAACGGCGCCGCGACGGCATGGAGCGCGCGCCGGTGTCGAAGGCGTCAACGCACGCGGCGTAGAAGGTGAGACGGCGATCCACATCGCGCACGCGAGTGTGGGGTGAAACAAAAACAAAGAGATTACAAGAGACGGTACTACGGGTACAAGAGTGGTCAGCCGTTGACGTATAATTTTTGTCGTCGAGCGACGATGACGCGACAGATAGGACAGCGACGCATTCGACGGGCACACTTGCGACACATACACGCGTGACCGCATGGGATGAGCACGCACTGAACCTGGGTGGTCATGCACACCACGCACTCCGTGTCCGGGACGCCGCTTCGCATACGCGGCTTCGTCTCGGCAGAAAGCTCGGCGGTGGCTTCGTCTTCCTCGTTCAAGGATGAAGAGGGCGGAATCGCGCCCATCTCTTCGTCCCCTGCGGGTTCATCAGCCTCGTAGCTTTCGGTATCGTCGCATTCGGTGTCGGCGTCTTCGGTGTCTTCCTCGTCGCGCGCTCCGTTTGAGTCGCTCTCTGAGGTGCTCAAATCGCTCGCCTCTTCCCACTCGTCCATTACTGTGTTATCTTCGCGCTGACGAAGTAACGGCTCTTGCATCATCAAACGTTGCGCCCGGATCATGTTCACTTGCTCGACGTGGCGACACAGAATGGCACGAATGCAGCATCCGAGAAGGACGCCAGCGAGCATGACGGCGTATTGCCACGTCTCTCCGTACATACCCGTCGCATCATCGACCTCAGAACAATCGTCACTCGTCCAGCCGACGTGGCACTCGCAGTGGCCGTCTATGAGACAATCACCGTGTCCGTTACAGTACCCCAAGTGCGAGCACCCGTCGCTCAGAGGGACAGGATTCGCGTCCTTCCGCACGCACGCGTTGCAACACTCGAGTGGCGTGGAAGGAACGAGCATGGGCGAACCGAGGGCGCCCATAGCGCTTATGACGGACGTGAAACCGGAAATTGCCGCCCCATTTTTCTCTACTGCCGTGGGGACGTTTGATTGCCCGCACGACACGTCGTATCCGCTCTCTGTCGCGCACTCGCACTGCTCCGTGCCGAGCGCGTTTCCACTCGGAAGCACAAACTTCACCTTGCAGCAAATACCTTGGTCCTTCGGATAGTAAAACGGTTTCCCTCCGTTCCCCGTCGCTCTATTCGATCGCTTGAAACCTTGTAAAAACGTCCCCCCCGGACACACCATGTCGCCGCCGCTTCGCGTCGCACGCTCCTTGGTCGGCGCGCAGTCCACGCTCAGCGCCCTCAAATCCCCGATCGTCGCGCTCGCGTCGCGCTCGTCCGTCACCTTCGGGAACAACTCTCTCACAGTCATCCCTCGATCGATTCCGCTCCCAAAACACGGCACGCAGCATATCGCGCGCGACAGCGGCACTAGGCCACCGTCGTCCGCCCGTCCCGCGTACTCGCCGCTCGCCTCGAACCCGGCGACGATCGCCCCCTCTCGCGCGCACTCCAACCCGCTCTCGCTCGTCGAGAACGCGCAGTCGCAGAGTTCGAGCTGATCGAACACCGGGGCGTCGTCGAGCGACGTGAACGCGCGCGCGCGAGCGGACCCGGACGAAACATGCGTCGCGTTCGACGTCGGTGCCCTCGAGCTCGGAAACACCTCGAACGACGTCGACGGACGCGGCGCGCGCGCGGCGAGCGCGGTGGAGACGCACGCGAGAAGGATGTGTGCGCGTAGAACGCCCCGACGCGGCATCGGGCGCGATGCGACGACGCCGCGCGCCCGCGAATGGAGCATCGACGCGGCGGTTGGGCGCGTCGGACGCGACGCGAGCGAAACGAGCCGGCGACGGCGATGACGACGACGACGACGCGACGGACGCGGCGCGACGCGAGGTCGATGAAAACAAGCCGGTTTGAATGTGTACGCTAGGTATTACACGCCGCGCTCGCGGCGGCTCTCAAATTTCGCGCGCTCCGCGTCGTTCTCCGAACCTCCGAGTCGCTCACGGCGCGGCGTCGTACGGCGCCCCGCCCCCGAACGTGAACGGCGTCCACCGCCCCTGCACGCTCGGTGCCTTTGTAAAGTGTCTCGATTTCATCGGTCTCGACCCGGGCTTGCCCTTTTCGTTCGCCAACGCCTCGCAGTGTCGCTCGCACTCGAGCGCGCTCAAGTTTTTCAACCCCACCGTCTTCGAGTTCCCGTTCGCGTACGTCGCCCGCACGTGCGGATCTCTCCCGCGCTTCACGAACGTCGCGAACGCCGTCTCGGCGTCCTCCGACGACGCGCTCGTCGACGCCTTGATCGTAGACGAGCGTCGAAGAAACTCCTCGAACAGGCCGCTTCGCGCGAACTCCTTCGCCCCCTTCGACGACCCCGTGACGTCGCAGTAGTACAGCGCGAGCGCGCGGATCTGCGGGACGCCTCGGATGGACATTCGTCCGCGCGCTCGGCGCGCGAACGGGCGCGCGACGGTCGAGCGCGGGCGCGCGCGCGCGATAAAGTGCCGGGCTCGACCTAGGGCGCGCCCGCGCGCTCGACACTCGCGGACGCCCGCGACGCGCGTGGACGTCCACGCGCGCGCGATGGCGACGGCGAGGACGGCGACGACGCGCGCTTGGACGGCGACGCGGGCGCGCGGCGCGCGGCGCGGCGACGCGCGAGGACGCGCGGCCGCTCGGTCGACGTCGACGATCCCGTCCGACGCGCCGAGCGACGCCTTGGAGGCGCTCCGAGGCGTCGAGCTCCGCCGAGCGAGCGATGGCACCGCGGTGACGATCCCGGAGCTCGTGACGGGGGGCGGGGCGAAGGACACGACGGTGGTGACGTGGTTGCGAAGCTTTGGATGATTTTTCGCCTCCGAGCGCGCGGTGGAGCTCGCTCGGGAGGCGATACCGAAGTTGAAGGAGATGGATGCGCGCTTGGTGGTTGTGTCGATCGGGACTTTAGAGCGAGCGAAGGATTTCGCGCGTGAGAACGCGTTTCCGATCGAGTACCTGTACGCGGATGAGCAGAGCGAGACGTACGACGCGTTAAAGTTGAATAAAGGCGTGGACGCGACGTTCATGCGGAAGTCGACGCCGGAGAGCATTCTCGCGCGGTGGAAGGATAACGGGGCGAAGGATTTGCTCGGGGTCTTGAAACGATGGAAGCCCTGGTTGCCGCCGAGGCCCGATCAGGGATATCAGCAAGGCGGTTCGTTCGTGTTTCGCGGATCGAAGACGGTGTACGTCTCTTACGACGAATCCACTGGTGCGCACGCGCCCTTGGAGGATATTTTACGCGCTGCGCGCGGCGATTAGTCAACTCATTTAGACGCGCTTCGCGTCGTCGAGCGCGAGGCTCGTCGCGGCTCGATTGGTCTCGCACGTGACGTCTCGTCGATAAACCAGTCTCACTTGACTTCGACCGGACCGACTCGCCAGACCGCTCGCGCCATTCGTCTCGCCTCGCTCGCCGACGCCACTGTATTTTAACATTCATCGCCGGAGTCGTCTCACTCTCGATGCCGTCTCTCGTTTACTTTACACGCTAAAAACGTTTCGCTCGAGCGCTCGAACGCTCTTCCCAAACCTACTCTATTCCTTCGACGCCTTCATCGCCGCCACGCGCTTCATGTACCTGCGATCGAGTCGACGCGCCCGTCGAGGACGCACATCAACATCAGTCTTTCGTCCACCTCCTCGAGATACCTCGCGCGTGGCGCGGCGCGGCGAGCTCCCCGCGATCGGTCGAAAAACTCGATCGTTCGCAGCCGTCCGCGCTCCCGCGTCTCCCTCGCGCACCCGCGTCGCTCTCGTTCGTCCGAATCGCGCGATCGATCGCACGCACTCTTTGTACTGGCACTTTTCGTACACGTGTCGCTCGTGCTCGCACTTCCACGGCAGGAAGAAGGATTTCCTTCGGCACTCGTTGAGCGGGATGAGGAGGTGCGCGCAAAAGTCTCTGTACCCGATGTCGAGCTTGGCCTCGCGCATCTCCTCTCGGGTGGCGATCATCTCGCTCGCGGTGCCCATCGTGTGCGCGTCGTCGATGCGTGGGAGACGACGGGTGAACGAACGGGGCGAGCCGCGCGGTGAGGCGCGGACGCGCGAAGGCGAAGAGGCGGAGGTCGACGGATGGATTGGTGTTCAGATGTCATATTACACGGCGGCGGCGGTGGCGGTGGTGACCGGTTGGCGGCGTCGAACACGACACGGGAGACCCTTTTCCGTGTGAATCGTCGCGCCCATGGTCATGCCGATATCCTTGGGATCGGTTGTGAGCTCGAAGTCGTATCGGCGGAGAACCATGGCCATGGCGATGGTGGCCTCCAGCATGGCGAACTGATCGCCGATGCACTTGCGCGCGCCGGCGCCGAAGGGAATGAATGCGAAGTCGGAGGCGACTTCGTTGGGGTAGAGACCGGTGAAGAGTTCGGGGTTGTAACCGGCCCAGTCCTTGACGCCCGGGTTCGCGAAAGGTCGTTTGAAGCGAAATGGGTCAAACTCTTCAGGGTTTTCCCAGCACTCGGGCGATCGGTGCAAGTTCCAGACGCTGATAAAGATGTCCATGCCCTTAATAAGCGTCACCTCGGCGTCGCCTGCACCTTTCGGAAGGGTCACGTCCTCGAGGCAGCGACGGATAAGAATCGGAGGCTCCGGGTACAGACGAAGCGCCTCGGCGATGCACAAGCGAACTGATTCGAGCTTTTGAATGTCATCGTACGTGGGCGTTCGATCGTCGTCACCCATCACCTCATCAATGTCGGCCTGAATACGCTTCATGAGCTCCGGGTTTTGCATGAGGCAGAACAAGCCCCACGTGAGCACAGCGGCGGTGGTCTCGTGACCTGCGATGAGCATGGTCATCAAATCATCGCGAAGCTGCGAGTCCGTGACGTCTGCGCCGCGAATATCGACCAAGAAGCGCAACAAGGACGGGTCCTTGACCTTGCTGTAATCTCTGTTCTGGAGCTCCTCTAAATCCTCCGTGCCCTCGAATTTCTGGGCCTTTTGGATCAAGCCGTTCAGTGTCTCGTTAATAATCTTCATGTTCTGCTTGAACTCGCGCTGGCGAGGGACGATGTCCGTCGCGAACGGAATGTTCCAATATGGGAAATAGAACGTACTTCGATGCGCCGCTTCCTGAAGGCAGTTATACACGGCGCTGATGATTGGAGACTCCTTCGTCACTGAACCAAAGTCGTAGTTGAACACAGCCAAGCCGATGATGTCCAGACTCACCGAGCAGAACCGCTCCTCCATGTCTACGACTTCTCCATCCTCCGCCGATTTGTCGAGGTTGCGAACCAATTCGTTCGAGCAGTGCCCGAACAAGCCGACCATGTGGTCAAGCCACGCCTTGTGAAAGCCAGGAACAAGCTGTCTCCTGCGGTTCTTCCACACCGCGTACGGCGCCGGAATCAACCCTTGGCCCATGATGGGTTCCAAGATCTCCGCGAGCACGCCTTTATCGAACGAGAACGGCTTCTCCTTCAACACCTCTCGAACGATCACCGGGTCGCTCAGCACCATGAAAACCTTGGGCCCGAACGCGAGCTTAAAAACCCCGCCGTACCGTCGAAAGTACGGATACAGCGCCAAGAAAATCGGTCCACCGACCAAATCATCGATCACGCCTTCGCACACAGGGGCGTTGTCCTTGCTCTCCTTCCCGCCGTACGTCTGTAAGATTTGCGTCACCCAGAGCGAGACGATATCCTGAAACTTCAACTGCTCGGGCTTAAAGTTCTCATCCGGAAGCGCCTCCTCGGGCGCGCTCGAGGGCTCCTTCACCGCGCGCGCGATCACATCGACGCGCGCTCTCCCGCGCGCCCGCACCCGTCGCGCGTCGACGCCGCGAGAGGCGTGGACGCGCGCGCGCGCGACCATTCTCCCCGATCCCTCAACGCCGCCGCCGCGTCGCCCCACGCCTCCGTCGAGCGCGCCGCGCCGTCCCATCGCGCGCGTCACCGTCACCCCACCCGTTGTCGCGCGCATGACGGTCGAGCGCGCGCGACGTCACGCCGAGAACGCGGCGCGTTGTGTCGCTCGCGCGCGTGCTCGAGCGGCACTTTCCGACGGCGCTCGACGCCTCGCGCGATCGCGCGCCCCGTCTCGCCCGCGCGCGCCGCGCTCAAGGCGTTCGTCCGCGCGCGTCGCCGCGCGCGCGATCGCGTCGGCGCGCGCGTCGCGGTGTCGTCGCGATCGCGGTCGCGACGACGGTTGCGCGTCGTCGCGCTCGAGTGACGCGCCGAGGCGCGCGCGCATGCCTCGGATGCGCCCGCGCGGACGACGG